ATAAACAAATATATATCCTAACGCTTACCGACCTTGAGAAAATAGCCGTCAAGAAAATGTCGAAATAACTTTAACTTGCTCTAAAATTGCGTTTTTATCCATATACTTGAAAACTGTCAGCCAAGTTTGGACAAATTTGATGACGTAACCGTAAAGCTATCGTCAAAAATTATGAATTTACTATAGGCATTACGTAACAGCCCGTTTAATGCGTGCAATACTTTACGCGCATTTATACTCTGCGTGATTGTGTTAGTATGGACTGCTAATTGTGCCACAGCACTCGTCACAACATCATGCACCAAATCCCATTGCTTTTCCACTCAGAGCTTGCGAGCCCTTTCTAGGTCCCTTCTTCTATTCCAATTCCCGTCAACCTTCGTATAGGCATAGTCTCTAGCATCCCATCAAGCCACTAAATTCTTCCTTCTCCGGAATCACTCATGCGTGACCGTCCAGGCGCCATTTTGTCCGTTTCGGGGCCGTTTTTAGGCCTTTCTTTCGCCCTACCTCTCTCCACTGTCACATGATTACATACATTGCTCTGGATAGTCCAAGAGAGGCTCTTTCATTTGAAACGTAGTAACATGTGCGTTATTGCACGCATATCATTTTGTTTATTTCTTTTATGAACAGATTTTGGATTTTAACAATGCGTGCAATAAACAGTAAATGGGGAAAGGCAAATGTTTTCACAATTTGAATTTTACCAATCAGTGACAAATTTAGAACCTTCCATAAATGCAATTGGCTCTTTATCTTTAATAAAATTGTTTTCAATTGAGAGTCTAGCACTTCAGGTGAATACGATACGTCAACACCGAGAACCGTCAGTGATGGAACTACCTCAATATTTCCAAGTGGTGTCTTGCTGAACCTATCCACATTGCATTTATTTTATGCAGATTAATAGTAAAAGAAGAAGACTCGTCGGAATTTATCAAGCGTGTCAGAAAGAAATTCGATTGATTTTTCATTATGTATGATAACATTCATGTCGTCAGCATAAAGAGAAAGTTTTATTTCAACAACACTGTTTATTTTCAAACCTTGCACTTGTGGATTATTACGTTTATTGCAAGTGTTCCAATTGCCAAAATGAATAGAATCGAATGGAATCACCTTGGGGCACACCTCTTTCTACATGAAAGTAACCAGTTGATATTCCTCGGTTCATGTTCACAACTTTCTACATTATTATATAAGACTTTTATAAAATCTAAAATTAAATGATCTGACGCTATTTATAAGAAAAGAGTGATCGAGATAGTCAAATGCTTTCTGAAAGTCGAAACGAAGTAGAATCCCATGTATATCCTTTAACTTTAAATTTTAATTTTCAGATCGACATTAAGCATAGTGAATGGGCTATAGTTTTCAATGAGAATTTTATCCTTCCCTTCTTTTAAAATCAAAGTAATTAGCCTCTGCCGTTGTGAAGTAGAAAGTTGTCCTTTTCAAAAGAAAAATTGAGAATTCTACAATCAATGGTCCAAGTTGTATTCAAAACTTACAATAGAACTCGACTGTCAAGCCGTCAATTCCCGCATATTTATTTGTTGCCATTTAAAACAAAGATTGTGTGCATTCTAATAATGATAGACTGCGGTCGCATTTCTGTCGCTGAACTTGCAGACAATTTAGGTTAATTTTCCTGTTCTAAAAACATATGATTCAATTCAAAGTTAACCACTGTTTTTTTGTTATATAACTCTGAATCAAATCGATATGTGTCACAAGTAAGTCTTAACCTTGGTGTGTTCTTTGATACAAATATGACTGGCTACTCATATTCAACAAGTTTCGAAATCGGTCATATATCAGTTGCGTAATTTGGGGTTCATACGAGAATACTTAACTTGCACTGCAACAGAGAAGGTTATTCATGCATCCAATTAATTTCAACCAACTTGTTCAACCTAGCTCTCGTAATCAGCGTGCCAACTTACAAACATTGCAGATTGCCGCTGCTCGTATTATTACCCTCTCCAACAAACATAGTAATATGTCCGGTTTTCAAGGAGCTCTATTGTTTAACCCTAAAGCTATGGTCACATCACCTAACAGTAGCCTGCTCGGCGGCCGGGTGGCGAGGTTTGAGCCAATTTCGCCCAGGCACCGAGCGGCGGCCGCCCCGCACTGCTTGTTTTTAGGGCATCGCTCGGTCGCTGCTGAAGTTTTAGCGAGGAGTTAAAATTTGGGCGGCGCCTGCTCACTTTCCCTCGCCGCCCAAAGTATGCTCGGTGCCCGGGCGGTCCCCGCCCGGGCACTGACCTAATCGAGCGTTCGCCGTCGAGCGATTGAGGTCAAAAATCGAAGCTTCTAGGTCAAATGCTGCTAAGCGTTTGCCTCCCGGTCGCCGCTGGGAGATTAGTCGGTCACTGGGCGACGAGTTCCAAATTGGTCAGCAACCTTTGACCTAGCGGCTTTGATTTTTGACCAAAATCGCTCGACGGCGAACGCTCGATTAGGTCAGTGTCCGGGCGGCGAATGCCCGTCCCCGAGCGTATTTTGGCGCCCCATCGATCACCGGCCAGCTGCCGGGCAATTTCCTTAAAAAGAGCAGTGGCCGGTGGGAGACCGCTCGGGTATTGGTGGGTCATCGGTCGGTTACTGCCGGGATGCCGCCGGAGAAGCTCTCCGATTTCGCCCAGTTTTGACCTCAAATTGACCGGCGACCGACGGGAAAACGACAGGGCACCGCCCAGGCATCGCTGGGGCTTTACAGCCTGCTCGACTTCTCCAAAAAATCGTTGGGCGATGCTTAAATTCCAGCGGCGACCGAGCAGGCTACTAATCGGTCGGTCGCTGCTCTGATCTGTGACCATAGCTTAAAAGAGCGTATATTTTCAAATTTCGTTTGGTTATGCCTAATGAATGACTCGCTGCTCCAAAGAACAAGATTATTTGAATAATCACTACATACCTGCCAGATCTTAACGTTCTGACAAATTCTGGATTGATTGTTCGTCCAAAACCTAATACAAAGATATTCCTACAGTAGAGTCTTTCAAAAGCAACATTAAAACTTATTTTTTACAGTTAGCTTTTACTTGATCTCATTTGTCTTCTTGTTGTGTTATATTGTATTTGTGTATAAGTTTGTTTATATATTCTCATGTTTTGCACAAGTGCGCCTTGAGTATTTAACTTTCAAGTGGAATTGGCGCCTTATAAATCCTATGTATTATTATCATTATTATCATTATTGACACTGATGAATTATGTTGAACATAACACAAATATCAGGAAACACCTCTAATACGTTCTCCATGTGATTTAGAGTTTGGATTATTTAAAATTATATTACCATAACGAATAATGATGATGATGAACAGCATTTGTATGGCGCCATATATCTGTTTCAGAAAACATTAAAAGGCGCGAGCTCCTCCAATAAAATTGAATCAAGTAGTCTTGGGTTAAAAAAATGAGCAAATCATTGGAAGCAAATGTCTTGTTTACACAGATAACACTGACTTATACTGGCACTCCGGGATTTTTTTCTTAATTTGTCATTGTTGCTGTTTAATACAATTTACAGAAGGAGCGTTGAAAGCGAATAAAATGATAAATAAATAGTATTTGATTGCATCTTTTATGAATGGCAGTTTCACGACTGAATTGCACATGACTTACACAAATTGAAATGTATGCGTTGTTACAAATACATACAGAACATTTAGTTGAAAGTTATTTAAACGTGTCATGTTACTATTGCCTAAATACCATAAACAATTAAAAAAAAAACAGTTAATGAATACAATTTCAAAAATAGAATGTATAATCATAATTATATATATATTGACTAAGACACATTATCTAACAGTTCTTCATATTTCGATACTGCACTTGTGGGTATAAAGGAAAATAATTAAGGGTAGTGACAAGAGCAGTGATATGAACAATTAAAAAGGAGATAAGGACCGAGAAATGGTTGGTAAAAGAGATAAATAAAATTTATTCAATGCTCGGGCGATAGACTTCTAGTGGTATTTGAAATAATTATACCCATTTTCACAGTAAATACCAATTAAATATCATTAACATATATTCGTGCAATATAGTAAAGACAAGTCATGGTATGGGGTTATACCCAAGCTCTTGTAGTTTGAATCGCCATGAGCCTTTTCCTCAACTTCAAAGATGAAATCCAAACTGCGACTTCTTCATTTTCCTTATCCTAGAGCAGAATAATTAAAAACATCCGCTACCATCAAAAGGTTCTTGGAAACGTGATGTAAGATGCCATTTGTGTAACATGAAGGTTTAACAGTTCAATTTTAATGGCGTCTTTGTCACTTTCCAGTAGAATTCCAGATGGTAATTCCACGACCCCCATTAACAATAGCAAATTTACATCATGCAAATAAACCGTTAGATGACAAAGTATAGTAGTATACTTTATTGGATAACTTGTTTAGCACAGGGCTAATCTGCCACAAGGTCCAAAGACAGTTCATTTGACACTTGAACTCTTATATTATCATGGTTAATACATTTTTTATGGAATCATCAGCGATACAAAGCTATTACCATAGTGAATATGTCTGATGTTCATTCAAACAGTGTTACCTATACAATTCAGGTGGTACATTTTCGATGTCAAGCAGGCTAATCCCAAAATATTTTATATTTTGCTGCTTTGTCAGAGTATTTATGTTGTGAACGTTGGTAGAATGAACATCCAATTTGCCTTTTCCACTAGGCTGTGTCCATGTATTTAATATATTTGTTTCCGTGATTATTTACTTAATAGGCTGATGTTTACAACGCCTCTTTGTATCTTCTTTTTTTCCCCAGAGATACAAGGGAGCGACGTTTAACCCGGTTTGGATGGATGTACGGCAAATGCAAGTTCTGACATCTGGAAAATGGCAAATTTAGTTTTGAGAAGGCACTGCAGGTTCCAAATTAAAGGCAATTATTTATCTTTTGATCAATAGTTTGATTACTTGCCGGTCAACTATCTGTTTTTTTTTCTTCAGAACAAGCAAATCATGGGGAACAAAAACACGAAAGCACTTCAAAAAGGGGCACAGGTTGATAAAACTGGTGATCTTGGGTTCACCGCTTTTCACGCTGCTGCATCGACCGGCCATGTAGATGAAGCAGTGCAAGCTAATATTCCTAATATGAAGGAACAAGCAGCATTCAACACAGCTTCATTACACGGCCATCTGGATAACGCTAAATTCCTTATAAAGAAAGGAGCAGAGCTTGAAAAGCACGAAGGTGCAGGATTCACTGCCTTACATCATGCCGTGCTGGAAGGTCGTCCGGATACCATAGATCATCTAGTCACCGAAGGAGCCGATGTAAATAATACAACAGATGATGGTCGGACAGTTCTCCACTTTGCGGCTATGAGCAATAATCTTGAGATTATGAAATATCTTATCAGCAGAGGAGCAGAGCTTGATAAGCCCGATGATGCAGGATTCACTGCCTTACATCTTGCCGTGCTGGATGGTCATTTGAATACCATAGAATATCTGGTCACTGAAGGAGCCGATGTGAATAAAGCAATAGGTAAAGGTCAGACAGCCCTCCACTTTGCTGCAAAGAGCAATCATCTTGAAGTCGTGAAATATCTTAGCAGTAAAGGAGCAGAGCTTGATAAGCCCGATGATGCAGGATTCACTGCCTTACACCTAGCCGTGCTTGAAGGTCTACTGGATACCATAGAATATCTTTTAACTAAAGGGGCCGATGTGAATAAGGCTGACAAAGAAGGAAGGCATTCGCTACATTTAGCTGCAGGAAAGGGGCACCTAGATGTTCTGCAGTATCTTCTCGGCAAAGGAGCAAAGTCCGATCAGGCCGATGATGATGGGATTAACGCTCTAGATTATGCTATAAAAGATGGTCATCTCGATGCCACAAAACATCTGTTCAGTCTTCCTGCCGAAGGCGATAGAGATGGGGATAGAGAATTCTATGCATTCCATCTTGCTGCATGTGCGGGTCATATTGACATCATGAAGCATTTCCTCAGCGAAGGAGCAAATATTGATGAGATTGGTGCTAACGGTTACACCGCCTTTCAATTTGCTGCAATGACTGGTTATCTTGAAGTTTGTCAATATCTTCTCAACGCCGGTGCACATTTCGATATTCAACACAAAGAGCATGTTGAAGGTTTGAGATTTTCGCCATATCTTCTCGCGGCAGCTAATGGGCATCTTGAGATCATGAAATGTCTTATCAGCAGAGGAGCAGAGGTTGATAGGAAAGAGGGTGCAGGAATCACTGCCCTACACCTTGCCGTGATGAAAGGTCAACTGGATCCAATAAAATATCTGGTCACTAAAGGAGCTGATGTGAATAAAGCAACAGATAGTGGTCAGACAGCTCTCCATTTTGCAGCGTCAAACGGTGATCTTGAGATCATGAAATATCTTATCAGCAGAGGAGCAGAGGTTGATAAGGCTGAGAGTACAGGATTCACTGCCTTACTTCATGCCGCACTGAAAGGTTATCTGGATCCCATAAAATACCTGGTCACTAAAGGAGCTGATGTGAATAAAGCAACAGATAGTGGTCAGACAGCTCTCCATTTTGCAGCGTCAAACGGTGATCTTGAGATCATGAAATATCTTATCAGCAGAAGAGCAGAGGTTGATAAGGCTGAGAGTACAGGATTAACTTCCTTACATCATGCCGTGCTGGAAGGTCATCTGGACACCATGGAATATCTGGTCACTGAAGGAGCTGATGTGAATAAAGCAACAAATGATGGTCGCACAGCTCTCCAATGTGCAGCGGTAAACGGTCATCTTGAGATCATGAAATGTCTTATCAGCAGAGGAGCAGAGGTTGATAGGGCAGAGAGTACAGGATTAACTGCCTTACATCATGCCGTGCTGGAAGGACATCTGGACACCATGGAATATCTGGTCACCGAAGGAGCTGATGTGAATAAAGCAACAAATGATGGTCGCACAGCTCTTCACTTTGCTGCAAAGAGCAATCATCTTGAAGTCATGAAATGTCTTATCAGCAGAGAGGCAGAGGTCGATATGGCCGAGAGTATAGGATTCACTGCCTTACATTATGCCGTGATGGAAGGTCATCTGGATACCATAGAATATCTAGTCACTAAAGGAACAGATATGAATAAAGCAATATGTAATGGTCGGACAGCTATCCACTTTGCGGCAATGAGCAATCATCTTGAAGTCGTGAAATATCTTATCAGCAGAGGAGCAGAGCTTGATAAGCCCGATGATGCAGGATTCACTGCCTTACATCTTGTCGTGCTTGAAGGTCTACTGGATACCACACAATATCTTGTAACTAAAGGGGCCGATGTGAATAAAGCAAACGAAAATGGTGACACAGCCCTCCTCATTGCAGTGGCAAGCGGTCATCTTGAGATCATGAAATGTCTTATCAGCAGTGGAGCAGAGGTTGATAGTGCAGATATTTCAGGATTCACTTCCTTACATCATGCCATGCTGGTAGGACCACTTGATACCATAGAATATCTGGTTACTAAAGGAGCAGATGTCAATAGGGCTGACAAAAAGGGAAGGCATTCGCTACATTTTGCTGCTGGAGAGGGGCGCCTAGACGTTCTGCAGTATCTTCTCGGCAAAGGAGCAAGGTCCGATCAAGCCGATGATAATGGAATTACCGCTCTAGATTATGCTATAAGAGGCGGTCATCTCGATGTCACAAAACATCTTCGCAGTATTTCATCCCAAGGCGAAAGAGATGGGGATAGAGCATTCTATGAATTCCATCTTGCGGCATGTGCGGGTCGTATTGACCTCATGGAGCATTTCCTCAGCGAAGGAGCAAATATCAATAGGACTGGTGCTAATGGGTTCACCGCCTTTCAATTTGCTGCAAAGAGTGGTAACCTGGAAGTTTGTCAATTTCTTCTCGACGCAGGCGCACATATCGATATTGAAGACAAAGAACATGTTGAAGATTTTGAATTTTCTCCATATGTTCTCGCGGCTGCTAACGGGCATCTTGATATCATGAAATATCTTATCAGCAGAGGAGCAGAGGTTGATAAGGCTGAGAGTTTAGGATTCATTGCCTTACTTCATGCCGCGCTGAATGGTCATCTGGATCCCATAAAATACCTAATCACTAAAGGAGCCGATGTAAATAAAACAACAGGTGTTGGTCGCACAGCCCTCCATTTTGCAGCGTCAAACGGTCATCTTGAGATCATGAAATATCTTATCAGCAGAGGAGTAGAGGTTGATAAGGCTGAAAGTACAGGATACACTGCCTTACATTTTGCCGTGCTGAAAGGTAATCTGGATTCCATAAAATATCTGGTCACTAAGGGAGCTGATGTGAATACAGTAACTGATGGTGGTGAGACAAATCTCCATTTTGCAGCGTCAAATGGTTATCTTGAGATCATGAAATATCTTATTAGCAGAGGAGCAGAGGTTGATAGGTCAGAGAGTCATGGACTTACTTCTTTGCATTTTGCAATAATGAAAGGTCATGTTGAAGTCATTGGATATCTTCGAAGCCTAGGGGCACGATATGACATGAGTAATGAACGCGGAGGTACTGCATTACATATCGCTGCATTGGAAGGCCATGTTGATGTAGTAAAGTATATACTCGGCCTAGGAATGGAGGTGGACAGGGTTGATAAATTCGGAACTACTGCATCCCATCTTGCAGCATCGAACGGTTATCTTGACCTAATGCAATTTCTTATCAGTAAAGGGGCGCAGGTTGACAAAACTGATGACCTTGGGTTCACCGCTTTTCATGTTGCTGCATCGACCGGCCATTTAGATGTAGTGAAATATCTCCTCGATAAAGCAGTGCAAGCTAATATTCCTAATATGAAGGGAAAAACAGCATTCCACACAGCTTCATCAAACGGCCATCTGGATATTGTTGAATTCCTCGTAACGAAAGGAGCAGAGGTCGATAAGGCTGACAGTGAAGGATTGACTGCCTTACATCATGCAGCTCGGAAGGGTCACCTCGATGTAGTTAAATGTCTGCTTAGTGGAGGAGCTGATGTTATTAAGGGGACACCTGGTGTTGGCCAAACGGCGTTCCATTTTGCCGCTTTGAATGGTCACCTCGATGTAACAAAATATCTCTTAAGTGAAGTAGCACTTGTCGATATAACTGATAAACAAGGGGTCACCGCTTTACACCTAGCTGCGCATAGTGGTCACCTTGGTATCATTGAATATCTTTTAGATGCGGGAGCCAATGTTTGCAAGTGCAAATCTAGTAACAATGGGACAGCTCTGCATATTGCGGCAATGAAAGGTCATCTTGAGGTCACGCAATATCTTCTTTACAAAGGGGCGGATATCCATATGACTGATTGTAAAGGGAGGACTGCAGTTCACCTGGCAGCAGAAAATGGTCATAATGATGTCACGAAATATATGTTAGACCTAAACGAAAAAAATATCATAGATAGAGCCGATAATAATGGAGTGACTGCTTATCATCTTGCAGCAGAGAACGGTCATCTTGATGTCTTGAAATCTCTTCGCAGCAAAGGAGCCAAGGTAGACATGCCTGATAGGAAAGGATTAACAGCATTGCATCTTGCTGCACGAGCCGGTCTTCTGGATATTACAGGCTATTTGCTAAGTGAAGGAACTGCATGAGGTTGATCAGGCCGGGGAATCACAATGGTGAGACAGTCTTACATCTTGCTGTACTGAAAGGTCGCCTGCATGGCCATCTCAAAATTTCTCATCAAACAAGCTGGGGCAAAGATTGAACTAGCCGATGGAAAAGGATACACTGCTTTCCATCTTGCAGCACAAAATGGGCACATCGATATCATGGACTATCTTCTCGGCGAAGGAGTACCAGTTGATAGAACTGTCACCCCCAAAAAACGTGATCCAGTCGGATCCGTGCGTATCAAAAGATGAATAATCTGAGCAACAAATAGAAGACTAAAACAATATAAGTTTCGTTTAAAAAAAATCGTTGACAATAATTACTATTTTACTTATATCTTGACTGTTTCATTTTGTACACCTAGATCATCCAAAACAATGGCCAAAATGATTTTAACATCCAATTATTCCAAGGAGTCTAGGGTGTGCAAATCATAATATCGTGAAAAATTATGCGACGTTATATCGTCTAAGCTTCCCATAGATTTTCTTACCGGCGTAACAATGTTTTCTAAAGCAGGTATTTTACTAATTCAGTTATACCCACACGCCCTGTCTAAAGGTCGTCTCAGAAAGTAACGGCAAAGACCTTGCGAAAGGCGACGGACGGGAAAATCACAAAATGTTGACGGTAAAACGAGGGCAAAAGGGGAAAACCAAGATTCGCTGGCAGGTGGGAACGACCTTCAGCGACAACACGGCGACAAGGGACGAATGGCTGCGGCAGGGAACGGAGTCTAGCGAGCAAAATCGGACGTGGTCTGGGCGGCGAGTGACGATGTCCCGACGGAGCCCGGCTACAGGGAACAAGGGCAGACGACTGGCAGCGGATTGACTGGCGGCAAGGAACGGCAGCTGACATTGGGTTGCGGCGACGATGACGTGACTCAGCGGCCGCCATCAAAGCCTGTGTGTGTGCGGGTCACTGACGTCACAGAACGTGAAAAATCGCACTAACAGTTTAAAATCGCAAACCATCGCAGACCACCGCTGCAATGCCGCAGGTACTCGCAAACAACCCGCCATCAACAGTCGTCAACTATCACCCTCCGGCCAACATTCCCAATCTTTCGTCGCACCAAGGTCGTTACAATTGTGTTTGCCGCGCAATGTGTCGTCAGGGTTTGAGATGTGACGTCACTTGCCGTTGTTTTGTCGTCAATGGTCGTTGACAACGACGCGGACTACCAACGAAATTGTGACGACCTCAACAGGACTAGAGACGGAATCGCACGGCATGGAAACGTCAAGGAAATGAGGGTTGCGGTCTCCAACGAAATCTGAACGGAATCACAAAGATTTATTTTTCCAACACAAGATGTTCAACATGCTGACTGATAATTTTGGTCCTCTGCGGTCGCTAGCGGATCCGTCAGCGAAAATTTAAGGCAACACACGATGAATGGTGGGAAATTCAATATTGTATTTCGCAGTTTAACGTATTGTGCTATCCACCCATTCGATAGCGTGAGCCGGCCTTAAACTCGCTTTGGACAAAATTAATTCATACTGAGGTTTAGTTTGTCTTACCTATGTACACCTCTGTTAAAACCAAACGTAACACGAAATTCGATTAAACGCTGTTCGTGCAAGCGAAAAATGTATGAATAAACGATGAGTAGGTGTACTGCGCGCGTGCAGTGCATGACAAGCATTGATCGGTTAAACAGAGAGTTGGCTTTCTGCTAGGAGTTTGGGGCACAATCCCCTTCCCCAAAAACAAATTCTCCAGCCCCCCCCCCCCCCTAACAACAAAAAAGAAAGAAGAAGATAGATCCGGAAACACAGAAACTGAAGGCAGGATCCAAATTCTAAGTGCGGTTAAAACGAAATTATAGAGGCCCTCAGGTTTTAAGCTGGCTACTGATTTGCAGGTGATGAAATTTAAAAGCACATCATTCCAAGGATAGACAGATCTCTTGTAGGTGGTTATGAGAGCATATGGGACCTGATCTTCTGAAGATGGCCACGAAGGGAAATAGAGACTTGGTTTAGGTGTTGTGCAGAAGGTATATCCAAGAGTTGGTGATGCGGTAGATTATTATCCATCACCTTACACTGTGCTCTCCTGGCTATCTTGTAGGATGAGCCACTGTAGTCGCCTCATCATGCTGGTGACGCTGCTGGTGTGAGGTGGTCTCCAGCACCAAATCTGGCATAGCATCGTTGGACTATCTCCAGCTTTCCATGTAGAGGTCCTTTACTTCACATCCGTACTTAAAGATGAAGTTGAGTTCTGGTCATGCGATTGCATTGTGAAAGAAACGGTGTGGAGCCGACCAGAAAAGGTTGATCATCTAGCATATAAGAATGTGTGTGTATTGCAAGGTTCTGGAATCATCACAATGATAACAAAATGTGGCCAAGTCTTGGTAAAGTTACAAACACTTGCACAGAAAGATGTATATGGGACTACATGAACACGTGGCGTAAAAAGCCGCCCCCCCCCCGATTTTTACGATGTTACATGCATATTTAGAATATGAAGGCATTTGAAGAGCCATGCTTTTCAGGGAACATGTCTTAACTGATGTTCTTCCACACTTGCATAATAAGAATGAGTAATGCTCACAAATTATTTTTCACCTCTTCCCATAACTCAACCTTCTCTTTAAGGATAGATCATGATGGGGCCTAGATTGCGCTAAAGGAAGGCACTGGTAGATTTTGCCCTCTTCGCAATGTGACTGATGTGGTGGTTAATGCCAGCGCATTCTGTATTTCTTCCGTTTCTCCTCTCCTTTTTTTAGGAGAACAATGCAATTCACGTCTTGAAGTATTAGCCCTTACACCCCCCCCCCCCAACGAAAAAAAACCTCTTTAGTCAAGGGTAATTTATTTAATATCATAAGTTGTAGATATATATCAGGCTCCGAACATGTTATATTAGGCGTATGGTATGTTCCATGAATAAAATATTTGATTTTGTTTGATTTGAAGTAAGATGTTGGATAAACATGATTCCTGTTTTAGGATAAGTATTGATAGTGATGTGCACATCTTCAGTTCTATAGCTACAATAATCATGTATAATTATGTTAACAATATTTACAAAATATGTGTCTGTATTATAAGGTTGTATATATACTGTTTCAGTTCTGTTGCTGGAATAGTCATGTACATCAGACAATATTTAAAGGAGACGTTCTCTTTATTGCATGAATATTGTTTAAACGTATTGCTACAATGATAGTGCACATAAAGTACTAAATGTAATAAATATGTGTTTCATCATAAGGTGGTTTCAAACTGTTGAATTTGTATTGCCATAATAATAATTTATGTTAGACAATCAATCGTCATGTACATAAATCCATAATTACTGAAGATATTTTCTTCATTGCAAGGTTTAAGAAAACTGTTCATTTGTTTTACTCCAATTTTTTGAAGTACACTAGGTAATAACTGAAATGAATATATCCGTTATTATGAGGTTATATAAAAACGGTTCTAGTTGTACGGCTACAAGAATAGTGTATATAAGAAAGTTTAATATTTTCAGAGTATATTTGCTTTATTACAAGGTTGTTTAAAAACATTTGCTGTTCTGTTGCTACAATAGTTATATACATAATAGGATAATAATTACAGAATATTTTGTCAGTTCTATTGCTACATTAATCATAAACATTATGATAATAATTACAGAATATATCTTTTTGTTGTATGAATTCTGTGTTCATATTACTACAATGATAATGCACATAAGGTAACAAATACAATAGATATATGGTTCATCATAAGGTGGTTTTGAAAACTGTTCAGTTTGTAGTAATAGGATATTCATGTAGTAAGACAATAAGTTCAGTCCAAATTTTCTTTACTATACGAATAGTGTTTTATTTGTATTGCTTCAAAGGTCATGTACATAAGCCGATAAATAGAAAAAATATTTTCTTCATTGCAATGTTTCATTAAGACTGCTCATTTATTTTCCTATGTACAATGATCATTTACACTAGGTAATAACTGAATGAATATATGCGTTATTATAAGGTTGAATCGAAAACGGTTCTAGTTGGTATGGCTACAGCAATCATGTATATCAGGTAGCCTAATTCTTTCAGAGGATATTTTCTTTAGCGCAAGGTTGTTTGAAAACTTTTGCTGTTCTGTTGCTACAAAAATCATCTATTTCGGATAATAATTACAAAATATATTTTCTTTATTGTAAGATTGTACGAATAATCTTCTACTTCTGTTACTACAATAGTCATATACATGGTACAGTACAGCCTGGTACAGTAATCGCAGTAAATATATATATTTTGTATTGTAAGGTTGTATGAATACTATTTTAGTTCTATAGCTACAATAATTCTGTATATGTAAGCAATAATACCATAATATTTGTCTGTATTATAAGGTTGTATATATATATATATACTCTTTCAGTTATGTTTATGGAATAATCATGTACATAAGATAATATTTACACGAGACGTTTTTTATTTCATGAATACTGTTTCATTTCTGAAATGAATATTTGCTTTATTATGAGGTTGCATGAAAACAGTTCTATTTGTACGGCTACATCAATAATGAATATAAGATAGCCTAAAATATTCAGTGTATATTTGCTTTGTTGCAAGGTTGTTTGAAAACATTTGTTGTTCTGTTGCTACAATAATCACATACATAGGATAATAATTACAGAAAGTATTTTTTTGTTGTATGACTTCTGTTTTTATATTGCTACAATGATAATGCACATAAGGTAATACATACAATAAATATATGGTTCATCATAAGGTGGTTTTGGAAACTGTTCAGTTTGTATTACTAGAATAATCATGTAAATCAGATAATAATTTCAGCCAAATGAGTGTTTCATTTCTATTGCTACAATGGCCATGGACATTAGACAATAATTACAGTAGACATTTACTTCATTGCAATGTTTTATGAAGACCTCTCATTTATTTTCCTACAATGATCACCTACACTAGGTAATAACTGAAATTAATATATGCGTTGTTATAACATTGAATAGAAGAAGGTTCTAGTTGTATGGCTACAACAATAATGTACATAAGGTAGCTTACTAATGTCAGAGGATATTTTCTTTATTGCAAGGTTGTTTGACAACTGTTGCTGTTCTGTTGCTACAATAATCATATACTTAGGATAATAATTAAAGAATATATTTTCTTAGTCGTATGAATACTCTTTCAGTTTTATTGCTACATTAATCATATACATATGAAAACGTTTTCAGTTCTTTTGCTGCAATTGTCATGAACATTAGGTAACACAAACAAAATTGTATGAAAACTGGTTCAGTTTTATTGCAATAATGATGATATGGACATAAGGTAATAAAGACATGGTCCACCGTAAGGTGCTTTGAACTGTTTAATGTGTATTGCTAGAATAATCATGTAAATAAGACAATAATTACAGACCTAATTGTCTTTACCATGAGGCTACACGACTAGTGTTTCATTTGTATTGCTACAATTGTCATGTATTTCAGACAATAATAACAGAATATATTTTCTTCATCGCAAGGTTTGATGAATACATTTCATTCGTTTTACTACGAGGATCATGTATATTAGGTAATAACTTAAATAAATGTATGCGATATTTTATTGTTGTATGAAAACGTTTTTTAGATGTATGGCTACAGCAATCATGTATATAAGCTAGCTTAATCATTTCAGAGGATATATATTATTTTCTTTATTGCAAGGTTGTTTAAAAATAGTGCTGTTCTGTTGCTACAATAATCATATACATATGATAATAATTACATAATATATTATTTTAGTTGTATGAATACTGTTTCAGCTCTATTGCTACAATAATCAAATATACATAAATATATATATATATATATATATATATATATATATATATATATATATATAATGTTTTTAGCATTCTTTGTTTCGTGTAATACTCATTCTGCACCCCTAACGTGTTGTTATATTTGGTTCGTGCAGAATTTTAAGAATTTAAAAATGTACCAGGGGCAGTATTCTGAAAACTCACTTAACTTCCCTTTTGAGTCCTCAAGTTAAGTGAGCGGTACTAAACATCTAAATCTGTATTCTAAAGCTCACTTAGCGTTCATTTAACTCCTGCGTCATAAATGCCCACTCCCTCTTTTTGGCCAATTTCTACCAATCATATACGCTGTAAAAAAAAAGGAAAATGGATGCATACGCTCGCCAACTTCAACATATGAAAATTGTGTAGTAAACAATAGTTTGCGAGACTCGGTTTCAGATGGCCATGTGATAATGTGAATTAGCTTGACTTAAAATACCACAATGAAATGAATAAGGATATTCTAATTTAATAAAACGTGCCATCCTATCCATTTAAGCTCATTTACGTGACAAGAAAATACAGTAAAAGAGCGTAGTGTCGTTAAAAAAAGAGGACCTAAATAGGTCTTTTATCTTTTTCGAAATTGATTGACTGCTAATAAAGTTTTCAGAAAAGCAAACTTCTCTTAACTCCGCATTTAACTACATCGCACACACCACAACCGTGCATGAAAGCATACACGCAAAGCCAGTGGCAGATTTAGGGGGCCGCCCACCCCCCCCCCCCACCCCCGGCCCCCTAAACCGGTAAATTTAACCTTTTTTAAATAAAAAAAGAAGATGAGCCCCCTCCCCCTGGCGCAAGGGGGTGGGTGTTGATTAAAAGAAATAGTGTTCACTACCCCCCCCCCCCCTTGAGCCAACAAAAAACATAGTGCTCCTTATCGGTTCAGAGACAGCTGCAATATCCATAAATATAATCATTTATAATATTTGTGGGGCCCCACAAATATTCGATAATTTTGACCAGTCGTTGAAAGACAAAAGAATGCTTACACTTTTCAAACACATGTTTTTTAATAGGTTTTGATGATCTCTCTATTTAATTATTATTTAAACAAAGCATAACACGCACAACTTTATCATTAAAAATGGTTAAAACCAATGGCTTTTCAGAGAATTCCCTCATGTCGTTTCTGCTCATTCTTAATTGTTAACAGGCTTATTACTAAGTCGTTTGTAATTTGTGAATAACTTTCGAGCATGGTGCAGTTATAACTATTAGTTTGTAATGTAATGGTGCAGGTTTTGGTTACTAAAATTCAGTTTGACTAAAACTCTTCTCTCTATACCAAAACTCAACTATCCCTTTAAAAGAGCCGACATGAGTTCAAAAGCGTAGATATGAGGGTACCATTTCATTCATCAGATAGGAGACCCCATAAAACTTGTAAATAAACTAGTTTGGGAACATGTTTTCCTCTCTTAAACTAGAAAGGAAGAATATTCGTGTACAGTTGCGTTGACAAATCTTACCATGTAATACACTTTCAAGATGCCAAATATGGTAAAGATATGACTTTATATTGTAAACATGTAACAAGTGTTGAATATTTTATAAAATGGTATTCGGATAACGTCATAAAGCAATGGCCGTGAACAAAAATAATTTTAAATATTTTATATCTGTTGAACATTTTTATTTAGACAATTTTGCTATTGCAAGTAGTATTTCGCAAATTTATTTTGTTTGGTTTGTATCACTTAAGAATACAGTTAAAATGAAATGGTATATGTGTGACAACGTCTTAAACCTTATGCATATATACATGTGTATATATAAATAAATATATATGTATATAAATATTTGAAACACTTCTGTGCGTATCTCCACGCAATATTTATTTAAATGTATTATGAATGTTATTGCCTTTGTAAGTCTAATGAAATTGTTTGTTTATATTCATTGAACGTACACATGTATGTATATTTCTCGTAATGTTTAATCATTTTGATTGTAAATATGCAGAACTCACCGAGTTTATGTTGCGACGTATAATCGTTTTGTCGTTGATATAAATACTTTTTTAATGAAATTGAAAATTAATACCTGACACTTAATTTGTCAAGGAACCTAAAATTGACAGTGTGTTTGTATGTTATTCTGCCCTCTTACTGTAAATGCTATGTAATTACTGCATGATTGTATTGTTGGATGGCTTTTGCCGTTCGACGGAATCTTTTTTAGCGTATACGCATGCATGTTCCAATAAATGGTTGATAGAAGTCTGAATGATCGTGCGTAGGGACCTTTTTTTTAAATTCGTTGTGACAGTGAAGATACGTACTCTGACATTTACTTATTATAATAGCTGTTCCGCTATATGTCCGCCATTCAGATGGCAAATAATGTGTCTTGATTAGCCTGGTAGGGCCTTAGTCAGACAAAATGATGCACGCTCTATCCTAGGATGCTTCGGTTTAAAAAAGGACTAGGTAACATTCTTCAGATGAGAGAAAATGGTAATAAGGTAGTGAATTCAATGCTAGATGTACAGTTAAAAATAATCTGAAAGTTTGAATGAAAACAGACCATTATTAATGATACAAATTTGGAAAATTATCTGATCGATTCCTTAATTCTCCTAACTATATATTTATAATTTAATTTAATTTAAGGTGAATGTAAATCGTCAACAAGCAATGATATTGGCGGCTTCGAACCTGGGACATCAAAGGTAACAGCACACATTTAGATTATATTGTGCAATTACCGTAGAAAACGGCAGCTGCTTGGAATAATTTGTTGCCAGTTTGGATTCCAGCTCTTACAATTCCTTGGCAATATCAGACACAGACTCTACGACCGAACGTTGAACCTTGTTTGGCATGTATGCAGGGACAAACCAGGGACCCTGGACAAACCATGGTCAATCGTGCGTAACAGTGTCTGCGCTATGAGACTTTGCTGAATGCACTGTATACTTCTATAGACAAATAAAGTTCATGTAGTACTGCACACTTTAATGTTTGGTTCGCATTAGAGCACAGTTAATCCATATTTTGGTATATATATTTATATTTGTCTTTTATTCTTCAATCATCTTTGTCATTTGGCCACACAGCGACGTAAGCGCACTAATCGCCCGATCCCCCAAAATGCACCGGTCCCGTCGGAAGAATGAAAGGATTGTCCCCGTTTTAACCTTGGGTGGAGGGGGGGGGGGGTGGGGGTGTCATTAATTTTCTCAGCTGATTGAGCGCGCGACACGAAAACAATCTAGGCAGTGCACTACGTTCAGTTTGCATACACTCTACCATCCTACTGTTACTTTTTAAAATATCTTTTTGGTATACATTTATCTTCATCCTGTTATTTCCTGTTTGTTTTTATTAATTCATTTGATGTACCATTGTCATTTTTGATTAAAACCACAAATGATATGTTTATTTGATATATTTACATTTTTTCACACGGCCCTAAAGGAAATTGGTCTTGTTACTGTTTTTTTTTTTTTTTTTACCGTGTATAACAAATATATCAATTCAATTCAATTCCAAACAAGACTCTCCGTTACGAAGGGCGACTTACATGGTTGGTAATTGAGCCTATATTAGGGACTTTTAGATTTGCACGAAGGCAGTGTGGATTGCTACGGTCGACGTCCTTTTAATGCACTGCCTTGAATGGACGTCACACGTATCAGTCCACGCAAATCTAAAAGTCCCTATTTATTACTATAGTAGTTCGCAAACATAACTTAAGCTCGGATTGTGATTCAGGCGTGTAGAGACTGACTGAGGTTATAGCTTGGGCCAATTCTTTTAGGAAGTGCGTGCATTCAATACATGTAGCACGGTCTGTGCGTGTCTGCGTGACTCTTGAAGCAGCTAGTATTCAATAGAATAGGCCCACCTGATAACAACCGTGTGGGTAAAAGCCGAGTCGATAATCAATAATTGGTGTCTACAATGTATTCATTGAATATTGCCTGTGGATTGAAAGTGGTGTTATAGAGAACGTCTAACATACTGAAGAACGGTGAGCTATGCATGTATAGTACCGTTTGTGAGTGGAGGATATACAGTTGAAGCTGACTTGTAGTGGAACTGTTGTCAATATGTAGAGGTAGCCGCAATAGCAGGGTGACTCTCAATCTGACCAGGGGGGTGTTTCACAAAGATCCTAAGTTGAACTTATCTCTAAGTTGGACTTAACATTTCTGGAAAGCCATTAGCATGAATTGAAATATTTTGTAAAAGTTATTTTAAAAGGTATAAAATGTTGATTCAAATCAATCATATTTTCTATCATTATGAAAGATTTCAGGTTCTTGATGTGGAATTTATGATAAGTCTAAAATACTTCAATTTTTGCTTTTGAATATATTTTATTTTAAGGCTACAAATGGCTCTCCATAATTCGTAAGTCCAACTTAGAGATAAGTTCAACTTAGGATCTTTGTGAAACACCTCCCTGCTCTCACTCAATAGGTGATTACTCTGTGGAATACAGGACCGTTTTTATAGATATTGGATGTACGTATTGTATACATCGCATTACATTACACGAGGGAGGCACACGTGGTTGATGGGCTATAAAAGCAATTGCATCGTCAATTTACCTAGATAAAATAATGGTGCAATATTTGACGATGGCTCTTAGAGGTCTCCTTCGGTTTGTCTTCCTATTCCACTTGTTGACGTTTGCAACTTCGGACCAATCACACACCGGACGACCTAACGTCGTGTTCATTCTCGCTGACGACTTTGGGTACAACGATGTCGGATATCACGGTCGCGAGCATGGGTCGATGGTGTTGACGCCGAATCTCGACGGGTTAGCTGGAGAAGGAGTCAAGCTTGAGAAGTACTATGTCCAACCCATCTGCTCCCCAACCAGGAGCCAACTACTCTCGGGGAGATACCAGGTAAATAGTTCCCTCTGTTTCTGTTCTTTCTTTTTATTCGTCTTCTTTCTTCTCTTCCTCTTCTTCTATTTCTTATTATACAGCTTATAGTTGTACTGCATTATCATCAGTACATTTTTCTTTTTTTCTTCATCTTTTTCATATCATTTATCTATTGCTTATTCTTCTTTTCTCTTTTTTGGGGGTCTTTTTTTTCCTTCTTCTAATCCTTATTTCTTTCTTCTTTATCACCTTCTACTTCTTTCTCCTCCTCCTCCTACTCATCTTCTTCTTAGTGTCTAATTTCTTTCCTCTTCTCGTTCTCTTCCTTCTGCTTCTTCCTTCCTTTCTGCTTCATCGTTTTTCTTTAATTTTGTTCCACTTCTTCTACTACATCCCTGATACCAGAGCTGGTAAAAATCACGTTTTATTTACGTCTTGTATTACGTCAAAAAGACGACATAACTTGACGTCTAAAAAGGACATCTTCGAGACGTAAACTTGTACCAATGGAAGACGTAATACGGACACCATTTCAATGTAATTTTTTAGTATTGCTGGTCAGAGAATACATTGTTGGGACGTTTTTTAAATGCGGTTTAATACCAACAGAAAATGTCATAAAGACTTCATATCCTTACGTGATCTTTACGTCCCTTTTTACTATAAATGACATCTATATGACCACCTGATTAAGGAAGAAAGTGTCAAAATCACTTTACGAATACGTTCTGAGCAATCACACAGCACAATCAAAGCGAAAAATATTGCATCACATAATATAAATACATGCCAGACAGAAATTAATTTTCATATTTTTAATATACATGTACATGTATTATGGTATGAAAATGGATAACATGAAACATAAAATCCTTATTTCTATATCTTCTTCTTCTATCTAACTTGCCTTCTATACGTACAGTGTCTTTACATCACCATCCTGACACTTCTTCCAAAACATGCTGTTTATAAAATACCTAGTGTATTTCTGTCAGTCTCGTAATTGATTTTAGGAAAGTTAACGGGCCATCACAAAGATATTTGTTTTTTGTTGTAAAGTGTGCTCCTTTTTTCGGATAAACGTTGTAATTAAAAGAAGGTTTACATTTGCTTTCAAATTTAATTCAGATACAAGAAACTATGAAATATTTTGGTTATTATTCGTTAACTTCCAGTGTCACAAATAAGGTATTAAAATATGCCCATCTGACGGTAGGTTAATGTATAAAACCCCTGACCTTCCGGGGGCTCCGCCCCCTGGACCCCACACCAATTGGTGTCCTGCCAGTGTCACAAATAAGGTATAAAAATATGCTCATCTGACAATTATTAAATGCCTATACCCCCGAAGCTTCTGGGGGCTCCACCCCTTGACCCCGCCGAGAAACGTACCAATATCTGGCTCGCATAATTTCAAATTTGCCCCCCCCCCCCTAAGAAATCCTGGATCCGCTTGGACCTAACTCATTATATATAGGCGCGGCTGCCCAAACCCCAACCTGCCGTAATTTATTATTTTTTGGCGGCGCGCGCGGCTTCAAGAAGTCGGAAAAGATCATTCCCCACCCCGGTCACCTATATTTATTTAATTTTTCTTTGAAAAAGATCCACACAGGCCTTCAGTACGGTGTCATCAGACCAGCACAGCCTCACTGTCTGCCCTTGGATGAGGTGACCCTCCCCCAGAAACTAAAAGAGCGGGACTACGCCACACACATGGTCGGTAAATGGCACATCGGCTTTTATAAAGACGCGTGTACGCCGACAGAAAGGGGCTTCGATTCTTACTTTGGTAAGGATGAATGACGTTTGCTTTGTGACATGCTTATGATATATTGCAATATTCATTTCCTTCCTTTAAGCCTCAGTCTCATCTTCTCGTACTTGGCTCGCGTATTGCTGCCTATTTATGACAAGCCGTTTTAACATTTATTCCTAGTTCTTGATATCAAGAATTGCCATTGCTTTACAACAGAATATCATTTCTTGATATCCAGAATTCACTTCTTAATATCAAGAAATAGGCATAAATGTTAAAACGGCTTGCCATAAATACGCAGCAATACGCAAAGGTGTGACCGAGGCATAAGTCTAAGGACTATTACAAAGAAATATATCTATCATTTGTCTATCAATTACCATGCAGGGAGGTCTAATCCCTCCTTGCGAAACTAGTGCAGATAGGCTTTGAAGCTAAAACTAAAAGTATTCAACTATGCCCTAATTCAACTGGTCTATCTTTCACTCTGGAGTTAATACGAAAAATACAAAAACATCAAATTTAAAAGGAGTATGAATGATTTAGTTGTTAATTGTGTGTGTATATATATATATATATATACGTATTATAACACGTTCTAAACGAGAAGTTGACTTTCTATAAAAGTTTCCCCCCCCCTCACCCCCCCCCCCCCCGAAAAACAAAAACAAAACAAACAAAAAATCAAACTTTCCCCAACATCCAAGTTTGCAAATTTGTGATATCTACCCCAGCATTCAAAGTTTGCACATTTGTAAATGTTAGTAAAAACGTCTGTTGGTACACTTCAAATGTTTCTTTACCATAGGGTACCTCTCTGGTGCAGAAGACTACTACTCTCACTCGCGCTCGTTCCAAATCGGTAGCAAGACTCTGAAAGGACTTGACTTGATGGCCAATAAGACACCTGCTTTCCAGTACAAGGGACAGTATTCGACGCATCTCTTCACCAGTAAAGCCATTGACGTCATCAATAACCACGAGAGGTCAAAGGTAAACGCATGGAGGTGATAAAGAAGGATGGGAATAAATCCGCTAAAGCCGGTAATTTAATACTCTGTAATAAATGTGAAACTGGTGCCTGGCCTTCAAAATTCCCCGCAGTGGAAGAGCAGCTCAGAGCATGGAACTTCAAAGCCAAGTCGAATGTTACAAATCCCATTGTTACGCTTTCGAACTCACGCATGCGTATGTATAAATTAGGAGTTTCCACTCCTTCTTTATCACCTCCCTGGTAAGCGAAAAAGATGTGCCAACGGAAATGATTTGAAACTTTGGAGATAGTCATTCACATTTTGCGGTTCTGAAAAATAACTGTTGATTTAGAGACCTAAAAAAGTATTCAAGATGCATGAATAGATATGCCATTTTCTGCACAGACTGTTTCCATTTTGTGTTGCTTGACCATATCGCGTTCAGTGCCTGGAATTTTCAAAACGAAAGTAGCTTTAAAATTCTTAAATTGGCAAAACAGTAATGATAACGATTAAATAATATTTCTGACTTATTTTATCAAGGGATTAAATTGAAGCGTCCGGGATGATTTAACTCATAGCCTGCCATAAGGCTGCATGCACGCTATCGCTATGCTGCTTCGTACATGCGAGAGAGCTAGTACCTATTGAGTGCCATGTGCGTGCAAGTGCGCTTTCGTAATCGCAGTTATTGTTCATGCTCATTGGACTGTGCTGTGTGTTTTGCACTCGCCATTCATAGAACCATCACGTTAATCAGATTATCTCCAAAACAACCTGGCACGGGGGAATTTGGGGCTTGGCACCCTGGGGATTAGCCCCTTGGCATGATAAGATTTAAAGCACTAACGAGCTATTTTTGTAAGTACAAAAACCTATGTGAGAATAAGAAGAAGAAGAAGAAGGGCCAAGAAAATTGATCAAAGCAGTCAAGCAATTCCTTCATACTGGTACCCTGGGTAGAGAGTGGCAAAATTAATCTAGTTCCCCCGTACCTCTTTGCCCAGCTTCAAGCAGGGATACTCATGCTACAATCGTTTGATCTACGGTTGTTAATACCTTAAGCTGTACATCGTTCCTTTTGATGTAGTTTTTTTTTTTTTAATATAGATATCAGGACACTGTACATTATGCCTAAAAAAAAAGGATGTTGTTATTGCCCTGTGGGCGCCAGAGCATGGGTCGGTCGGTCGGAAATCTTTTTTTTTCTTTTAACTTTTTTTCTTTTTTTTTCTCCGTCTTTGAGCTGATATTTCGTAGCTTTTCGCTTTAATACATTTTTTTTTATTTTTTAATCCGACCGTAGATTTCAAGATTCTTAGGTCGGTCGCAGAGGGCAATACAACATTTTTGTTTACACCTTATGCCTGCACAGTTGCACCTTCAAAAGAACGAGAAAACACACCATAAGGTGGACTGTACCTATAGCGAAGATGAAGAAGAACTAGGGCTAACCTGTATTTGCATTTATTTTATTTGTTTAGCCACTATTTCTGTATCTGGCATACCAAGCCGTGCACAGTCCTCTGCAAGTACCCTCCAAATACGAAGAGCCTTATGCGAACATCACCAGTTCAGCGAGACGAGCCTATGCAGGGATGGTGTCATGTATGGATGAGGGTATCGGGAACGTTACCCGGGCACTCGTGGACGCAGGGCTGTACAACAACACCATCATCATATTCTCCACAGGTATGAGTTCATCATTGGTCGGTATAAGATGTTAGCGTGTGTGCGGTGTGGTTGTGCGGTGTAAGTCTGGGTGTGAGGTGTTTTTGTGTGTAATTGGGTGTTTACAGACGTGTATCAATCAGAAGGGACTATTTACAAATGTCTCACCAACTTATAGTCGGCGTTCTTTCTACCCCCGGACAATTACCCCAGGACAACTTACCCCTCGGACAACTACCCCTCGGACAACTACCCCCAGACAACTATCCCCTAGGATAAATGCCCCGGGGGTAGTTTTCCTAGAGGATGGTTGTCTGGCGGTAGTTGTCCTGGGGGGTAGTCCTCCTAGAGGGAAGTATGTCCTCTGGGGTAGATGTCCTAGGGGTAGTTGTCCTAGGGGGTTGTTGACTGGGGTGGTTATCTGGGGGTGGATGTCCAGGGGGTAGGTGTCCGGATACGATGTACATCATATTGCAAGACAAAATATCATACCATCAGTTCGTATTTACGATCAGAATACATTTACAGTAATACTTGGAAAACACGCGGACAGAGGTAGGGATCAATATACACCATTCATTATCACCTTTACTCTCGAAATGAAGATTGTTACATCCTGTCGTTGCAGTCATATTTTTGTTCGGAAAAAAACGCCAAAGAATAGCCAAATTTTCCACCATTTTATCAAATATTTTCAACATTTCACATGGAATCCCAAATGGCATGGCATCACTTGGTACTTTTTGGTTCCTTTCTATAATAGTGGTATCCTGTTTTTTTCGACATCTTACCGATATTTTGATAATTTGGAGCTGTGCGCCCAACGTAGTTGCGTGAAATATGGTTAAACCATTAATACTAAAAACAGTTTTCCCCCTACCATTTCCAGTTGCATTAGTCTTGTTGGAAAGATAATCGCTTTTCAATACTTCATATCAAATATAATATAAAAGAATAACATAATTTAGGATCATAGTTTCTTATCGTTGATTTACAGCACAAATATAGATGTTAAGTAACACTGTGAAGAACAATACTGATTTATTATTGTTTCTCTTTTGATTTTCATTTGAAACAGACAATGGTGGTCCCATCAATGTCGGTGCGAATAACTGGCCTCTGAGGGGGTCGAAGGGCTCCCTCTGGGAGGGAGGGGTGCGTGGTGTAGGGTTCGTTCACAGCCCCCTCCTGCCCCCATCGGTGAAAGGAACGATAAATCATGAACTCATTCACGTGAGTGACTGGTTACCCACCATCGTGGCAGGCATGGCTGGGGGTAGCCTGAATGGAACCAAACCTCTGGATGGCTACGATGTCTGGAACTCGATCAGGTATTGGGTTAATTAGTCAATCAGGGGGGGGGGGTGTTTCACATAGATTCTAAGTTGAACTTATCTCTAAGTTGGACTTAAAAATTATGGAAAGCCGTTAGCATCTTTGAAAATATTTTGTAAAAGTTATTTTGAAAGGCATAAAATGTTGATTGAAATCATTCATATTTTCTATCATCAAGGAGATTTCATGTTCTTGATGTGGAATTTATAAAAAAAGTCTAAAATACTTGAATTTCTGCTTTTGAATATATTTCATTTTAAGGCTCCAATGGCTGTCCATAATTTTTAAGTCCAACTTAGTATTAAGTTCTACTTAGGATCTTTGTGAAACACCCCCAGGACCAATACCGACTTTCCACTATCGGCAAAATAGTGTTTTCTCGCTATCGACCGACAAAGGTCGCATACTTACAACATGTCACTGATAAGACGGTATTGGTCCTCACTGATATCCCCTCATTGAATTCCGTCTATTTTTTTTTTAATAGGGGGGGGGGGGCAAATGGGAAGCTCTCTTCTTGTTTGGTTCCATTTCACAAGAAAGATGACAAATTTGACCTTTCGATGCAGGTGGTCACTAAAGCAGTTTTTATTGTATTATGATTTGTCCACGTATGATTAACACCAACCGACAATTGATGACAGTAGCTACATCCACACGTAGACTAGTGAATGTGATTTGAATATTGCCTTTATTTGTTAATCCACATCAAAATCTCACATTTTTTTAAGCGCGTGAATTCAAAAGTCTCATTAAATATTGAGACTTTGATTCCGATCAGATTCTTACTATAAGTACGATTTTTTATTTTGAAAAAATGCGGCCAATAGTGACATTTAAATATCTATACTTCCTGTCCCTCAATGCAAACAGGCGAGTCGCGATTCTAATCTCACTTTTGGGGAGTGTATGAATGATACTTCTATGTTTTAACCACGTCAAAGCTTCACGTTGTCTTTTTGTCAAAGAGAAGGTTGAGGTCTGGGAAAGGTTAACATAATGTGAGCTTTTTCATTCGTTTTATGTTTGTGCGAAAAAATATCAAGCAAAAAAAAAAACCCTTGTCAAGGATGGTTCTTCGAATGCCCTCATGTTCGTAACATAAACAGTTACAGCTAAAGGTTGTGGACCACATTTTTGATGCCACATCTTTGTGCTTTCTCACATACGTATTACTGTGTACACTGAGGAGGCGCGATAGCTCAGTCGGTAGAGCAGTGGTAACGTAATCCGGTGACCCGGGTTCGAAACCAAGTCGATGCGCTAGTGCCCTTTGGTAAGGCATGAATCATCATTACCAAGTCCCTCGGAGAGGACCTAAAGCCGTCGGCCGTCTGGTTGCTTACTTACAAGCGTTTATGCATTCTTAGCAGTCAGGTAAAATAACCACCACCATCACAATCGAGCTAATTAATGATCATTTTGACGATTCCACACGTTGTTTTTTTTAAGTTGAAATTATATCAGCAGAACCCAACTTTATCTTTTACTCAATTGAACCTAAGGGGCATGGATCCCTCCCCTCGGCAGGAGCTACTCCATAACCTGGATCCCCTCGACGTCGCAGCGGACTTCGAAGGCGATGCTAAATGTTCTGGAAAGAAAACGACGGAGTGTAGGATGATTCCGGGAAAGTTCAACACGTCGATGAAGGCTGCTCTGCGTGTGGGGGACTGGAAGATTCAGACGGGTTCGGGGGCTAAATATTCAGGTGGTAAGTACAGCACACAAACAGTTCATGTGTGCGAGTGCATTGGTGAATATGCTCTGCACACAGGCTAATGAAATCATATATTAAGCGCATCCAAACAATAGGCATAATGCTCATTAGTTCTACCATGTTTCCTTTATTTTTGATGGGGACATTTTTGGCACGGTAAGCGTGCTAAGAAAGGGTGATGCACGATCACGTGGTGTCATTTGCCCTATTAGAGTACACATATTCTAGTTGTACCTGTTTTTATAATAAACACCATCGCAAAGACTGTCCAGCCATCATCCTAAGGAAATTGCAATAGCCTAGCTTGTCCATCAATTAATATTGAAATACGCAAAGATTGTAATGAAGCGTTACGTAATCGGAACATACATTTTTTCCCGCGGTTTCATACTGTACCATATCTGATGAAGTCTTTAGTAGACAAGAAAGGATAGGTAAAGAGCGTTTGATATCAACAATCCGGTAAAATAAGATAATAGAAATGAAATACACAGTGAAAGTGACTTTCTAAAAAAACGAGTTAGTAAAACTACTTTGATTGTAGTCACTAAAGGTTGGACTGGATTCAACTCAAAAGAATGTGATCCCTTATTATGACTCCTAAAAAGTGGCTCTCTATACGCTTCTACATTGAGAAAGTATTCTACCTCCCATAAGGTTGTTTTTATAATTTCCTTTTTAAACGTAACTCCCCCCCCCCCCCCCCAAGTGATTCCCTTTCTCATATCCGTTTAACTCTCTCTTCTCTTTCTTCTCTCCCCAATTTCATAAAATTCCCCACGATAGACGTGCAGGTGAATTTGTGGAAGCCGCCTCCCGAATCCGGACTCCATACCATTTATCCAGTGCAAAAACCAAAGCAGAAAGTGTGGCTGTTCAACATAACCGCCGATCCGCTGGAGGAGAACGATCTATCCGATACGTATCCGGATGTGGTGGCGCAACTTCTACACAGGCTGCAGTACTATTACAAGGATTCGGTTCCCCCGAGGTATCCGCCCCCGGATGTAAATGCTGACCCGGCTTTACATGGCGGTGCTTGGGGTCCATGGGAATGAAATTGAGACAATGATTACTTACGGCGTGAAGACTGTTCAAAATATAATTGAGGACATCAACAATACTGTTTTGTCTCATACAATGCATACTGCAGAATATCAACATCTGTTTTCACTTTCTTTTTTCTTTTTTCCCAGATCTAGTATTCATTTGTTTTGTGCTAGATTTGTTTCTCTTTTTTTCCAAAGATAATGAATAAATGGGCTTTAGGCCCTGGTTATTGATGTTGTTATTCAAAATAATTGTGTAATGTATTCGTCTAGAGTATCCATTTATTTTTTTAATTATTATACTATTACGTAGTTCTGTGTTAAATCTGTGTTGTTTGGGAATAAATGTGATGTTATTATATGTACCTGTATAATGTAAGGCTTCCTTGGAAAGCAGGCCAATTTTTTTTTTTTTTTTTTTTTTTTTTTGGGGGGGGGGGTTCAAATGGAACTACCCTACTGGAATAAAACTTAAAGATAATGGTCATGCGATTGCATTGTGAAAGAAACGTTGTGGAATCGATCAGAAAAAGGTTGATCATCTAGTATATAAGTATTGGTGTGTACTGCAAGGTTCTGGAATTTGGCCCAGTCTTCGTAAAGTTACAAGCACTGTACACAGACAGATGTATATGGGACTACGCACACATGCGCGACACGTGAGTTTATCTCTCACAATCCAATAGATAAACTAATTTACCAAATATATCAATTAGTAGGCGGTCCCCCGGCAAAATTGTTATCATCATGTATTATTCAAAACATATTCGTTCACATGATTGGTAATAAGAGCTTCCATTTAATTTTTTTGAAATTGGGGCGTTTCCAATACTGGTCTTTACCTTTAATAAATAACATAAAGAAAAATTGTTGTGGTACCACTAGTATTTCAAGTACACTCCATGGAAGCCATCTTCGTTCTCCTTGGTTATAGGAGGCAATAGTTAAAGACCGTCACCACTACTGGGCCAGAAGGGATTAGACCACACAGAGAGCCATCGAGGTCACTGTGACAGGTGGCTATCTCATTAACTCAGCTCTCATTTAACATAAGAAAAAGAGGATCATGGGGGACCAACAGGCACCGATTGGGGAAGTTTTCTATATAGAGGGAGCAAGTAGCTACAATTATGGCAGTGTGCCTTTAAAGGGACTCGGTAACATTGTTCAGATGAGAGAAAATGCTGCTAAGATAGTGACTTCAATGCTAGATGTACAATTTCAGACTATCTGAAAGTATGAGTGAAGACAGACCATTATTAATCTGATCTGATCGATTCCTTAATTCTCCCAACTATATTATTAAAATTAAATTACATTTTAGATCAATGTAAATCGTCACAAAGCAATGAATTGGCTCTATATACCATTCCAGACTATAAGTGACGAGTGATTTTTTAAAGCCTGTCTTATGTCTTCTTTTTTATGGAAAACTGGTTGGGAAAAATTCAAAAAGGTTGGAAGAATTTACTGTTAGAGGGTGTTGCACAGTGATACCTTCAAAGAAAAACATTAATATCTTTGTGGTTTGAGAATTTCTTCAGGATTTGTTGCATGTAAGAGGGTTAGTACAGTAAAAGGAATATAATGAGTATCATTTATAACAAAAATTACGCAGTTTTTCCATTAAACTTCAACAATGTTACCGAATCACTTTAAAGCGCAATCCAAGCTTTGACATAAGTTCACCTGCATGAAAGAAAATTCTGAGAAACAGGATGGCGAAAGTTCCAAACAAATTGGATCGATAATAAGGGACTTTTTAATGGTTTAAATATGAGATGACTATAAATCTATGCCAATATCATATGGCAATATAGTCAATGGATTGCTACGTTGTTATGGGCAGCTCTCCCGTTTGTCCCTTGGGGTACTACAAGAAATATATAAAAATCACGTAAAGCGTTTTAATACACATCCTTTGAAGAAGGAAAATAGACAATTAAATCATTTTATGTGTCGAAAGTTGTCCAGTTCAGCCAGTTTGAAGTGCCCATTTGAATAGTCATAAATGTCACTTGTACACAATTGTAAAATCCACTGAGACTAATACTGGATACATGCTCAAGAAGTTGTGTAATCATTATTCATTCATGCACCCAGGCGCGTACGCAGAGGGTGTTTTGGGAATAACCCCCCCCCCCCCCTCAATTTTTGTGTTATTATTATTATTTGGAGCTCAAGGGGGAGTAAAAGAAAATGCTCCTTAAAACCCCGGTGGATTATTGCTTGTATATAATACCCCGAAGGACGAATTGGTCATCGCTTGCATTATTTATTTTCTTTGGGAAATATTTAATGTTGGAACCTGGAAGTATTGATTGATGTATATTGTGATGTAATCATATACTGATAGAAAGATATATACAATGACATGATATACTCTTATACTCTTATTTCATATTGAATCCAAATCATTTTATTTGGTCGTTTATTTGTGTGTACATCAATATTGAGCAGATGGCTCTTAATTAATTCTATGTACACTATATTTACTCTTGAAGTCGCCTGATTATTTTCCTGTGATTCATGTTCATATTCATGTCGACAGAATCTAATATATCTTCAGACTGGTAATTGACAGTTCTGTTGCAGAGGGCGCTACACAATCTTTTGTGAGATAATGAAAAACTGAGTGTCAAATTTGAAAGAACATACAATTTAAATGACAAAATCATCTTAGTTTGATCAAAATCGGTTCAGAAACGGCTGAAATATCCATAAATATGACGATTTATAATACTTGTGTACCACCACAAATCAGATAAATTGGGGAAAAAAGTTGAAAAAAACGAGATAGCGCCTTTTACGTCGTATTTCAGCTTATGCTAATGTTGGCTTTTTTGTTGGCATTTTCGTGTTGGTTATATTAAGCACATCCAGCCGGCCCATGTATCGTATTTTTAATTAGATAATTATTTAACGGTCACCGTATTTTTTTTTAAGTTGAGCTGTATTTGTTTTAAAGTGGAGCTGAATTGGTATGATCCTATTGGCTAAATTTCACACATTCTGAGGTCTAGAATTACCTTCATAGCAATTACAGGTTCTAAAAGGGCACTATAAGTGTCATAGATAAGAATAAGAGCAACAACCATGCACTTTGAAGTCATTTTCGGTCTGAAAACAGAACTCAACTATCCCTTTAAATCTTACAAGGTGGCAGTAATCCTTTCAAGAGGGCAAACAAAGAATCACCTCCATGACTTTAGTCGTGATTATTCCAAAGGCACAAAGTGGGATTTATAATGTTTAAAAAGATCTGTGGATATTTGGGGTCATCTGAACCATTTGCTTCTGACTTCAAACTGGTCTATTGGGGTCCGTTTCTCGCAACCGTCTAACTTCTTGACTATTACAATCAGTGCTAGGAAGCTGCTTGTCGGCTATGCGTTTTACAAAGCCCTCTTCGCCAAGATCAAGGAAAACATCCTGACTAAGCAGTAGACCAATCGAATTTCAAGTAAGAAATTACTTGAAATTCGTTGAGTAGACCTACTAACAAGGTCCATGGTAGTACTGACGCCTCCGACCCTGTCATAACTTTTTTAGTTTATGAACAGCGCCATCACATGCCATTCATTGAGTAGCTAAACTTGGCTGGCAAAAAAAAGACAAGAAATCATATATGAATATTTGTTTTGACTATGCCATGTTTATATATAAGTAAACTAAACTGATTATACGCGTTTATTTCCTTTTGTAGAATCCTCGGAGGAATGGGTAATCTGCCAGAGCAGGCAAGCCAGTCAGAAGCATATTCTGTAGTTTTCAGACCCATATCAATTTCGAGATAAGATCTGTCTACAGATGTGTAAACTGAATAGTTAAAAACATGTGTTTTATTAGTTGGAAAGCTTAAATGTTATCATTTTGATGAGATTTTTTTCAAGCCTAAAGCATTGGACACAACTTTCATAGCACCATATATCTACTAAAAATAATATGATGGTGTATTTTGATAGAGTATCAATTAGGGATATCCGTGGGTACCCATTTAAAAAACGAAACTGATTTACCGGTCATGAAATGAAATATTCACAATTGTATACAAGTAGTTGATTGATTGATTGATTGGTTTTTATTCGACAAGCTTCCAACATACAACAATATACAATAATAACAGATCAAAAATAAGTCAGCTTGAACAGGATAACCCACGAAAGCTCGAGAGCTTATTTCCAGTGGGGTCCCTTAAATTAATAAGTTAAAATAGTAATATTTACAGACAGATAAGAAAATTAAAAGAACTACTTATTAAAGATAATAATAATAATAATAACATTAAACTGATGATAAAAATGATATTAAGTACAAGAGGAAAAAGAAGAAGAAGAAGAAGAAAAAGAGGAGAAGGAAGAGGAGGAAAATAATGATGAATTTGTAGAATTTCTATAACGTACGAAAACATAAGTATATACAACATGAAAAAGTTTTTCATGAGTTCTATGGTATAATCTACACATATTTTGAAGTACTTGGATCTCTTATTCCCTGCTACTATTTCAATCCTGCTTAGTCCTAATTCTTCTTTTTTTTAAGGAGTTTTCCTAAAATTCCCTTTTTAATCTATAGATGAGGTAGAAATGCGATTAAGGCTATATCGTGGCTCCTCTTCTCCCCGATAGCATCGATTTTACGAGATGACTTAGCTAGTAAGTTTTTCGTGAAACGGTTTAGAAAAATCAAAGATATCTCCGTAGATGATGGATAAAGTTATGACTGTCTTGTCATTGGCTTCAAAAAACGGGCCCCGGCCACGTATTTTTGTTCCGTACCGCTAATGCGTCGCAGAGGTTATTTCGACGACTTGAATAGAGGCAACATCCGACACACACACACTGAATCGCGCCGCACTGATCTTGTCACGTTTTCAGATCATAACGCATCAGCCGACAGTGCCGATGGTTATCCTTGGTTTGAGGGGTTTAAATTATTTTCGATTGCTAATTTCAGCTAATGTCTCCCTAACCTTAATCCTATTCATAAGCCCTACCCCCAACCCTAACCTTGAAAACCTAGACTAAATATATCTTTCCCCCATATTTAATCATGTGTAGTTTTGAAACATTGATGGATTATGTTATATGGGGACCTTGCTTTTACAAGCCCAGCTTTTCTAAGGTCTCCACTTTCTTTCATTTGGATTATATATCGACTTAAAATTGCACTTAAATTGTTTTTTCTTATGCTGTTTTTTGTTTTATTATTATATGTAAAAATGTTGTGAACGAAAGAAATAAAATGAACCTTTAACCTTGCACCTTGATCTAAACCTAAATCCTAGAATTTGATCAGTGCGGCGCGATTCAGTGTGTGTGTTTGTGTGTGTGTGCGTGTGTGCGTGTGTGTGTGTGTGTGTGCGTCGGATGTTGCTTCTATTCAAGTCGTCGAAATAACTTCTGCGACGCATTAGCGGTACGGAAAAAAAATACGCGCCTCGGCCAGCGCGCATGCTGGTCGTGAGGGTCTACTCTGGACGCATCTTTTTTTCCCCGTAAGGTAGCCATCCTTTCGCTGCATTATTTTGATTGGCTCAATAGGACTGATACGTCATGCGCTAGTCATCAATATTCATGACACGCACACACACAGAATCTGATGCGATAATTACAAATTACAGATTACAAATGCAAAGCTAAGTTTACTTTAAATAAGTGACATTGCGACAAAATCGGGAAGCTTACCGTAAACGAATAACTACCCAACGCAGGTCGTAACTTGTTCACAATCATTGCGACATACTGTTTAATAATTAGTCCAGAATCTGGCCGATTTAATTTGAATTTGATCTCCACCTCACCGTACCAACGCAAATATTCATATATTCAAATATTAATATGCATTCTAGGATGGCTGCCTTACGGGGAAAAAAGACGCACTCTGGACATCTGAGTCAATCGTGCTTGCTATAGAGTGGTGAAGTGTGACGTCATCAAAAAATCTATTTTTAGAATTTCTCAATTTTTTCTTCATTTTCCGACAGAGCATAAAAAAGAATGTCCAAATGTCGAAAACCAATTGAATATGTTAAGTATTGGCTGAGATATGACCATCTTAATAAAAAAAGATTGCCTATGGGAACTCAGTGTTATATGAATTCCTCTGGCTCCTAATGGTTAGGAGCCAAAGCATATAACACAGAGTTATATATATTTATTCAGAGGGTCATATTTCAGCCAATACTTAACATGTTCGATTGCTTTTCTACATTTGGAAATTCTTTTTTATGCTCTTTCGGAAAATAAAGAAAACCTTGAGAAATTCTAAAAATAGATTTGAATGACGTCACAGCTTCGGTACTGATCTATTGATCAATTTATAGTACAACAGCGTGTTACGCAGGTTGTGTTTTACTGATATCTCATGACATCAATTTATACTTCCCATCCACCGATGCCAAATATCTGAGCTGAAAATATTGTGCAAATATTGTGAACATAATTATGCATGACGGAAACGGGGGCCCGTTTCTCGAAACCAACGACAGGACAGTCATAATTTTATCCGCCAACTACAGAGATGTCTCTAGTTTTCCTAAAGCCATAGTCTTCCCAACAAATGACATGTGATGGCGCTGCACATCGACAAAACAGTTATGACAGAGATATGACAGGGGCCAAAACGTCATAAATACTTAGAATACTCAGAATTTTGTCCTTTATCTTGGCAAAAAGGGCTCCGTGAAACACGTTCCGGACAAATAGCTTACTAACGCCGATTTAGTCAAGAAGTTAGGCTTATGACGGTTTCGAGAAACAGACCCCAGATTGCCGCAACTCGGCATACGAAGAGCAATATCAATTACACAAAGACATGCATCTCAGTATCTGTATTACTAATTAGTAACCATGGACTTTGAGACACTTCAGTTATGGCACCGAAACACGGAGAAAGATAATAGTCATAGAATAAGGTATATCTCTTCATTTATATTTCATTCTGAGTGTTAGTTGTGTTGTATTGAAGAAGAGTTTTAGCTTTTTGAGAGAAATATGAGAGCGGGCTGTGAAAAGCGCCTGGTGTTGATCCTCGCGACAATAACCGCTTCGGGTATAATTTCGCTACGGAATCTCCTGGATCATAATGTCGTAATTTCCCGCTATCAACGTAAACAAGAAAGCTTACAGAAGTGCTCCTACTCTATGGTCGAGACCATGAACCATATGTCAAGTTGGAAATCACATCAAAATGTTTCTGGAATCATTGAAGCTCGACAAACTGTGATAGAAAATTCAAATATGACTAAACTCTTAACGTCTGCTTCCAAACCTGCAAAAGGGCTATATTTACAGGAACCCATAGATAAACACCTTTTCAGGTACATCCATAATCCAGAGATGACGTGTTTTCACGATAATTGCATGAAAATGGATGTGCATGTCGTATTCTTTGTTCCGTCAGCACTAGGAAATTTTGACCGTCGTGAAGCCATTCGTAGGTCCTACGGTAAAAGAGACACGTGGCCAGTTATCGCTGGTGGTGGTAAAATGGTGACGGTGTTCATGCTGGGCTCTACAAGCGATGCGGGACTTCAAGACAAGGTTGACATCGAGTCCAATAAATACGGCGACATCGTGCAAGAATCTTTTGTCGATTCTTACCTGAACCTGACTAGAAAGACGATCATGGGTCTGAAATGGGTCAAGAGCTACTGCAGACACGCGGAGTTTGCCATGAAGATCGACGATGACACTTCAATCATCCAACGCCGCATTATACCAATCCTCCGCGGTGCACCCCGCATCAGATACATGTTGGGGTATGTCTTCAAGAACCCGATTGTCATGCGTCAGAAAAAGCATAAATTCTACATGTCCAAGGCGTTTTACCCCAATGCTTCCTTTCCGACTTACTCTATCGGCGCTGGGTATATAATGTCAACGGACGTGGTCGAAGCAGTGTTCAACGTCGCTATCACCATTCCCATCTTCCCGTGGGAGGACGTCTTCGTTGGCATGTGCCTTCAGAAGCTCGACATCGAGCCCAATCACGATGAATCATTCCTCTTTCGGGAATCTTACATAAATCTTCTAACTGTCAAAAGCGCTAAGAGCGCAGAAAAGTACGTCATAGCAACAGACATTCCCCCCAAAAGAATGGTTTTTTTCTACGAGAGATTCAGAATAAAGGGGTCGTGAAGTAGTGACATCATATATTATTGGACAACATATTAACTGCATTACGCCTTTCCTATTGATTTAACTTTAAACAATTGTCTAAAACTCTACAACTTTAGACTTGGTGTTACAAAATGTAGAATGCCATTGTTTTTACCTTGTTTTGATTATTGTTCTTTACTTCAGTCTGAGCGATTTCAAAGACAAACAATTAAAACTGCAAAAGTTTCAAAAAACGAGCTGCACGTGTAGTACTGGCCGAAGGGTTTGATGTATCTTCTAATGACACATTTTAGGATGGATGCCTATTCAGACACGTTTCCAATTTGGACGGGCAGTGATGATGTGTAAATGGATGCATGGTATGGTACCAACATATTTAAAGAAAAATTTATATCATGTCAGTTCACTAAATGATCAAGACATAAGACAAGCTAAAGCCAGGGTAATAATCGGGAGCGCCAGGAGGGTCAAATCTGACTGACTATACAAGAACACACTATTATTATTATCATTATTGTGTGTACAAACAATTTAGGACCCCTAGTTTCAGGAATTCGAGTATGGAACCAACTTAAAAGCTCTTTCAAGAAGTCACCTACATTGAACAGTTTAAACGTACTCTAAAAGTTATGGTATCTGCAGATAGCGTGTAATTAAATTATTTATATTAGTTCCAAAATTGATACATTTAGTAAACATAGGTTGACATAATAAATGTTGAAATAAATTAACTGCATCAATCCTTGCTACTAGAGTTGATGTTTTTCTTTTTTAATTGAAACGTGCACATGTATTCCATTATTCAGCTTCTTGTGAACAATCAAAGTGTATTACTTAAAGGCACACTGCCATACTTGTAGCTACTTGCTCCCTCTATATAGAAAACTTCCCCAATCGGTGCCTGTTGGTCCCCCATGATCCTCTTTTTCTTATGTTAAATGAGAGCTGAGTTAATGAGATAGCCACCTGTCACAGTGACCTCGATGGCTCGCTGTTAGGTCTAATCCCTTCTTGCCCAGTAGTGGTGACGGTCTTTAAAGAGCAGCAATTATCTTTAAACATATCCAATGTAAATATGTACATAGCAAGTTTGGTATCCCGCGTGTTACGCTATATTGGATAATTCACATGTACAGTTTTCGTCGTTAAAATAGATAATAGTCTATCTTCTCTTGTTGATTTATTATCATTATTTTTTCTTGTAAGAATGCCGGAAAATCTCATGGTTATCGAGCGTCTGATTTACAAACTAATAACTGTCTGTAAAAATAATGAGATATTAAAAATGTGCGACGGTATTACGGGGATGCCAATTATTACGTATACTTGTATACATATTATATACATGTGTGTATTTATTTCTTTATTTTGTTTTGTTGGTGTTATCTGTTTGAATGATCATTGTTATTGCATAGTATTGTTACCAAAGAAACCTTCTGGAAGGCCACAATATATTAGAAATAAATAAATAAATAAAAAACTTGGGTTTGAATTCTTCAAGAACTATTTAGTGATACTGATTGACTGTGTTTAAATACAAATTGTGTGCAATTGAAGTTGTAAAATCGGACAGAGAAAAACAAATCTGTTCTGACGATACGTACCCGTCCTTGTTTAATTAGTTTGAACTAAGAATACAATGGCCCATTATATAGACTTTGGATTGATGTGCATAATTAAGTCTTAACATTCAACTCAAGATAATTTATGTATATCTATTTCCTTATCCAATTGTTTTTTGTGGATTGTAAAGGTTTTATCATTCCTAAATTATACAACTAAAAACGAGGTATAATTAGATTTCTATTTTATAATATGAAGTAAACGTCGAAGAGGTTAGCGCATCATAGGTGTTCATGCATTGGAATCACACTAAGAATGTCAAGGTAATTAGGCTAGTTACTCGCGAGGTATTCATCCTTCGAGGGGAAAAGTAATGCAGTAAGGGGAAGGGAAAATAACATTTATAATGTCCGAAAGAATAATTTGTCTGTGTGAAAGAACAGCATTTCTTTTCTAATCACTTTTCTTTCTTTCACCCCTCGCAAATATTCATTCGTTGCATCATTGTAGACGTCGAATATATGTAACATATATACACGAAGTATATTTGTACACTTAATCTGTATGAGTACTCTAAACAACCGTTTGCTAAAATACTGATGGAAACAGCATGAAATTGTACAGAAAAAATTATGAACAGACACAATAAGTAACTCGTCACCTTCTGTGAAACAGGGAGGAAAAGTGAACTGACTGTGAATGATTTAAATGATTTTACTTCTCATGCAAAACATCATACAATGAATAATTATATTACCAAAAATATGCAATGAAACGACAAATATAATAGAAAAGCACGAGAAAAGAGGAACTAACTAAAAGCAGAGCTAATAGTAATTGTTGAACTGCTAATCCCTCAGATGCTGTTTTACAATATAACAAGAACAAAGTATGCTTAGAAACCAATAAATAGAAGAAAAAAATATGTAGCTAAGAAATTTTAGATTTGGGGGGGGGGTGGAGGAAAATAGACCATCCACCAAAATAGGGAGAGACCTATTATAGAATTTCATCATACATCATTTTTATTTGCATAATTTAGGAATTGTAAAACCTCTACAGACCACACGAAACATTTGGATAAGGATATTAGCTGTTCTTATGTTGCTATAATATAAAGGGGATAAACAAAATTTAGATAACTGAAGACCAATATCGTTACTGAACCGCGATTACAAAATCTTAGCAAAGGTGTTATGTAAAAGATTGAAATAGGTTCTACATAAAGTGGTCTCTCCTGATCAGCCAGGTTGTTTGAAGCAACGTTCAGCAGTAATAAAATAAAAATACGTTTAGTCCAAGATATTTTTGCTTATCGTGATTCTGGTAATTTTCCTGTTATTTTTTTTTTCTTCATTTTAAAAAAGCTTATGATATAGTTAATCATGTTTTTTTTTTTTTCAGTTATTATATAAATTGAATTTTAAAGAACAATTCATTGGGTCGGATCATAATAATTTATACAAATGCGATTGGAAGTGTTTAAAAAAACAGTGATTGGGTATCTAAAACATTTTAAAAACGACGGAGAATTAGACAAGTCTGTCCGCTTTCTACAATTTTGTTTATTCTTGTTGTTAAAGTAATGGCCGTTAATACTGATACTTCGAAAGTTTTTTAGATATCACAAGTAGCTAACGATGCTGCCCTTTTTCTTAATTCCATTGAATCCGCAAAACATTTCACTTGAAGAAGTAAGAAGATTTGGACACTATGCTTGGCCAAATTTAAATGTTATGAAAACAAAAGCAAAAACAATGTCAACTCAATTAGAATTCATAAAAGGCTAAAAATGGAATGATGATCCAGTCAAGTATCCTGACATTAACCTCACTAAGGATAAAAGGGAATCGGATCGCCAAAACTGGGCTATAAAACATGAACAAGTAGAATCAATCCTTAATCTTCCTTATTGCAATATATTTCTCACGTGTAAAAATGGTGTTACATCAAGAATGAATACGACAACATTGGAAAGGTATATGTGTATCAAGCATTGTGCAATGGCTTTTAAGACCAACGGGTTGCAATGCTGTTTGTTGTTGAAAAGCTAGGCTAGACAAGAAATTCTCCAGCTTTCCTTTTTCTACACATTCACTAAAACAGAAATGTGTCCTTCTTTATATATGAATATTTTATGAAACTATGCTTGTCGTGAGGGTCTAATCTGGACGCATCTTTTTTTTTTTCCCGTAATGCTAGGAGTCCACTGGGCCAGCGCCAGTTGGTGCCAGTTCGCGCCAAAGATTATGTGATTGGCGCGTAGTGGCTCGCTGTGGCGCCGAATTAATGTCCGCTCGGCATGTGTCGCCAAGTGGAATAAACTGGGTGCCATATGGCGTGCGCCAAATGCCACCCGGCTTGCTCCAAAATGTTGCGCCAGTTCGCGCCAGTTCGCGCCATTACACCGCCATTTGATTCCAAAATTCACCCTGTTGGCGCCATTCGCGCCAATAGACGGCTACTTTGCGCCACTTGGTGATTAGTTTGTGCCAAAGGTCACCAAATTGGTTTGAACTTGCCGCCGCTTGGCGCTACTTGCCGACTATATAAATACCGGCCATCGGCTACCTGGTTCAGACCCTCCTCAGCTGCTGTATGAACAACATCTCTACTAAATATTTACAATTTTGGCGCAACTTGGCGCGCGCCATTACATTACAGTGCATTCCAATAGGCGGATTGTTTGCGCCAAAGGGCGATATGTTCGCGCCATTTGGTTCCACTTGGCGGACACTTGGCGCTGATTGCTCGATGCAAGTGGCGCGACGAAAATTTCAAACATTTTGAAATTTTCTTGCCGCCACATTCAAATTTGGTGCCGTTACGGCCACCAAGAGCCAGTTGGGAGGCAGTTTGAGCCACTACACGCCACTTGGCACCTTATTGGCGACACTAGGCGCCACAGTAAATTGCATCGGCGCAAACTGGCACCAACTGGCGCTGGCCCAGTGGACTCCTATAGCATTAGGTAGCCATCCTTTCGCTGCCTAGCTCGCTTCAAATACCTATGATAGGTCTCCTATTTGATAGTGTACTTTTGTGACCAATCTCATTCATGCTGTACACAATCCTCTCAGTCTGGGCTTATTTTGTCCAGTACCTCTTTATTCCTGCTAGGATGAATAGGAACATAGACAAAGGATGTTTGTCGACTTTGAAATACAGCACAAGAGAACTTTTTGATATCAAGAAGGCAATTAAGACCACTCCATTGAATCGGATTGATGACAGTCTAGGGAAGAACTCTGTGACTTAAACATAGCTAAGAGTCGTACAAGCAGAGCTGGTAGGAAGGTTGCAAGAAAGGCATTGTCTGCTCCACCAAGATCCATTTCTTCTCATGTATCCTGTAATACGCGATCTCTTCGTTTCGTTTATAGAGATAACATAGATGATGCCCTCATCAAAATTGAATTGCCTAGAAATCGTTGTGAATCTCAGCCCACGCGTGTTGCACTCTGGAATGCGAGATCGATCAAGGCTAAAGGGAAAGCCACGACTGTTTGTGACTATGTCATACAAGATCGCATTGATGTGTTAGCCCTTACTGAGACCTGGCTAACAAACACAGACAGAGATCACCATGCCATTGCAACCATCCGCAAGACATTGGTGAATTATGACTTTCATCACATCCCACAGGCAACGTCCACAGGTGGAGGAGCTGGTGTGATCCTGCATAAATCTTTCGATGTCGTGTTCCATGACAGGCACGCCTTCTCTTCGTTTGAATACAGTGACCTTACCATCCACTCGTCGACAAAGCATCTCCGCCTAGTCACTGTATACAGACCTCCAACATCGAAGAAAAATAAACACTCGCTCGCGGATTTTTGTCGAGAATTCTCTTCCTTCATTGAGATTCTCCAGGCGTCAAACAAGCCTTTGCTACTTGTGGGAGACTTTAACATCCATGTCGACAACGAAGCTGATGCTAATTCTAGAGCATTCCTCGAGCTTCTTGATGGGGTTAGTTTCAGTAATCATGTTTGCTGTCATACACATAAGGCTAAGTACACACTTGACCTGATCATCACCAGGGGAGAAAACCAGTTGGTTTCCAATGTTACTTCCAGTCAGTCACTGCCATCTGACCACTCTGTTGTTTCATGCGACCTCAAATTAACACGTCCTGCGCATATTCAGAAGAAAGTTAAGTCCCGATCCCTCAAGACCATCGACCTGAGTTCATTCGCAGCTGATCTAGCATCATCAAGTGTCATCACCAACCCCCCAGATGAGCCAGAACAGCTAGCGAACTTATTAGACGGTGAACTTCGAACCATTCTAGATTTACATGCTCCAGAACTTGAGAAGAATGTTATTCTACGTCCACACGCCCCCTGGTACAACCAACATCCTAGAAAGGCGAAACAAGAACGTAGACGCTGCGAGAGGAGAGCAACAAAGCCAACAAGCTTGCAAATCGACAAAGAGATCTACCAGAAACATTGCAAGCTCTACAATGATCTACTTTATGAAACCAAGGAATTGTATTTTCAGAACAAGATACAGGATGCAGATCAGAAGCAGCTTTTCCGCATAATGAATGATCTGACTTCTCCTACTGCAGGTTCCTGTTTACCACAGCACACAAGTCCATCTGAGCTCGCTCAAGATTTCAGTGACTTCTTCACAACCAAGATTAGACGTCTTCGTGACAACCTTGATCAGCAAATCTATGAAGACATCTCGGCTGATATTTCTTCATCAACCCATCATCACTTTATGAATTTTGACGAAGTCTCACAGGACGAGGTTTTGTCAATCATTAAGACCTTATCTTCAGCATCCTGTGCCTTGGATCCCTTGCCCACCTTCCTCCTGAAGCGTTGTACATCTATTCTTGCTCCTCTCATCACAAAGTTCGTCAACCTGAGTTTCCAGACGGGCATATTTCCTACAGCCTTGAAACACGCTATAGTGTTTCCAAAACTTAAGAAATCGAATCTACCAGTCAACGAACTCAAGAATTTCAGACCAATCTCAAACATCCCCTACATGTCGAAGGTAATAGGAAGGGCTGTCATGGGGCAATTTCTAGAGTATCTTGAAGAAAATGCCTTACTTCCGAAAACACAGTCAGCTTACCGAAAGTACCACAGTGTAGAAACAGCTCTTCTACGCGTAGAAAACGACTGCTTAGAGGCCTTAGACACCCATAAAGAAGTGATCCTCGTACTCCTGGATTTTACGGCCGCGTTCGACACTATAGACCATTCAATACTCCTGGAGAGACTTTCTGAGCATTTCGGAGTTTCAGGAAATGCAATGAAATGGTTCCACTCTTACCTTGCAGGAAGGAATCATGTGGTAAGAGTGAGCCTTGCTTCTTCAGGACCAGTAGAGGATACATGCGGCGTACCCCAAGGTTCGGTACTTGGACCGCTGCTGTTTACCCTGTACACTGCCCCAATCCATGACATCATATCTGAGCATGGAATTCAGTCAATGTTATATGCTGACGACACTCAGATCTACCTGTCTTTCGACCCATCGGAGAGAGCATCTGCCGTTCTTCGAGTGAACAGATGCATAGCTGACATCCGCTCCTGGGCAGGCTTGAACAAGTTAACCATTAATGACGGCAAAACGGAAGTTCTTCACTTTTCCTCCAGATTCCTCCCAAGAACTCCCTCTGTTACGGAAACAGTCGGCGAGTCAGTTATTGAAGCCAAGGCCGAGGCTAGGAACTTGGGAATCATATTCGATGAGCACGCCACTAGAAAATCTCATGTTGCAGGGGTGTGTCGCTCTGCCATGTCATCCATGAGAAAGATAGGTCAAATTCGTAGGGTTTTAGACCGGAAGACAACTCTCACTCTCATCCATGCCTTCGTCACCTCTAAACTTGACACATGCAATGCACTTCTTCCTAATCTTCCTGCCAACGAACTGATGAAGCTTCAAAGAATTCAAAACATCGCAGCCAGAATCACAGAATTATAATGTTTATCTATCTAGTTACTGTTATATTATTTAAGTTAAGATCTTGTCAGAATTTTTGTTTTAGGATAGTACAATAGTAGATGCATGTAATTGATTAAGCTTGTAATACAATGTAAAGCGCATAGAGACATATACCTTGTATAATGCGCTATAGAAATATGATTTATTATTATATTATTATTTGATTGGCTCAATAATACGTCATGCACTAGTCATCAATATTCATGATACGCACGCACACAGAATCTGATGCGATAATTACACATTTCAGATTACAAAAGCAAAGCTAAGTTTACTTTAAATAAGTGACATTGCGACGAAATTTGGGAGGCTTACCGTAAACCATTGCCTACCCAGGTCGTAACTTGTCCATAATCATTGCGACATATTGGTTAATTTAGTCCAGAATCTGGCCGATTTAATTTTGAATTTGATCTCCACCTCACCGTACCAACGCAAATATTCATATATTCAAATATTAATATGCATTCTAGGATGGCTGCCTTACGGGGAATAAAGACGCACTCTGGACTTCTGAGTCAATCGTGCTTGCTATAGAGTGGTGAAGTGTGACGTCATCAAAAAAATCTATTTTTAGAATTTCTCTATTTTGTCTTCATTTTGCGACAGAGCATAAAAAAGAATGTCCAAATGTCGAAAACCAATTGAATATGTTAAGTATTGGCTGAGATATGACCATCTTAATAAAAAGATTGCCTATGGGAGCACAATGTTATATGCTTTGGCTCTTAACCATTAGGAGCCAGAGGAATTTCATATAACACTGAGTTCCTATAGGAAATATATTCATTCAGATGGTCACATTTCAGCCAATTCTTATCATATTCGATTGGTTTTCTTCATTTGGACATTATCTTTGATGCTCTTTCGGAAAATGAAGAAAAAATTGAGAAATTCTAAAAATAGATTCGTATGATGTCACAGCTTCGGTACTCTATTGATCAATTTATAGTACAACAGCGTGCTACGCAGGTTGTGTTTTACTGATATCTCATGATATCAATTTATACTTCCCATCCACCGATGCCAAATATCTGATCTGTAAATATTGTGCAAATAGTGTAAACATAATTATGCATGACGCAAACAGGGGCCCGTTTCTCGAAACCAACGACAAGACAGTTATAATTTTATCCGCCAACTACAGAGATGTCTCTAGTCTTCCCAACAAATGACATGTGATGGCGCTGCGCATTGACAAAAAAGTTATGACAGAAATATGACAGGGTTCAAAGCGTCATAAATACTTAGTCAAAATGTTGTCCTTTATATTGGCAAAGAGGGCTCCGTGAAACAAGTAGTGGACAAGTTGCTTATTAACGCTGATTATTAAGTCAAGAATTAGACTTATGACAGTTTCGAGAAACAGACCCCAGATTGCCGCAACTCGGCATACGAAGAGCAATATCAATTACACAAAGACTTGCATCTGTATCACTAATTAGTAACCATGGACTTTGAGACACTTCAGTTATAACACCGAACCACGGAGAAAGATAATAGCCATAGAATAAGATATATCTCTTCTTTTATCTTTCATTCTGAGTGTTAATTGTGTTCTTTTAAAGGAGAGTTTTAGCTCTCGGACAGAAATATGAGAGCGGGTTGTGCTAAGCGCCTGGTGTTGATCCTCGCGACAATAACTGCTTCGGTAATAATTTCGCTACGGAATCTCCTGGACCATAATGTCGTAATTTTCCGCTATCAACGTAAACAAGAAAGCCTACATAAGTGCTCCTACTCTATCGTTGAGACCATGAACCATATGTCAAGTTGGAAATCACATCAAAATGTTTCTGGAATCATGGAAGGTCGACAAACTGTGATAGAAAATTCAAATATGACTAAACTATTAACATCTGCTTCAAAACCTGCAGATGGGCTATATTTACAGGAACCCATAGATAAACACCTTTTCAGGTACATCCATAATCCAGAGATGACATGTTTCCACGAGAATCGCATGAACATGGATGTGCATGTCGTATTCTTTGTTCCGTCAGCACTAGGAAATTTTGACCGTCGTGAAGCCATTCGCAGGTCCTACGGTAAAAGAGACACGTGGCCAGTTATCGCTGGTGGTGGTAAAATGGTGACGGTGTTCATGCTGGGCTCTACAAGCGATGCGGGACTTCAAGACAAGATTGACATCGAGTCGAATAAATACGGCGACATCGTGCAAGAATCTTTTATCGATTCTTACCTGAACCTGACTCGAAAGACGATTATGGGTCTGAAATGGGTCAAGAGCCACTGCAGACACGCAGAGTTTGCCATGAAGATCGACGATGACACTTCTATCATCCAACGCCGCATTATACCAATCCTCCGCGATGCACCCCGCATCAGATACACGTTGGGGTATGTCTTCAAGAACCCAATTGTCATGCGTCACAAAATCAATAAATTCTACATGTCCAAGGCATTTTACCCCAATGCTTCCTTGCCGCCCTACTCTAGCGGCGCTGGGTATATTATGTCAACGGACGTGGTCGAAGCAGTGTTCAACGTCGCTATCACCATTCCCATCTTCCCGTGGGAGGACGTCTTCGTTGGCATGTGCCTTCAGAAGCTCGACATCGAGCCCAATCACGATGAATCATTCCTCTTTCGGGAATCTTACAGAAATCTCCTAACTGCCAAAAGGGCTGAAAGCGCAGAAAAGTACGTCATAGCAACAAACATTCCCCCCAGAATCATGGTAAGTTTCTACGACAGATTCAGAATAAAGGAGTCATGAAGTAGTGACATCATATATTATTGGACAACAGATTAACTGCATTACGCCTTTCCCATTGAGTTAGCTTTACAAAATTGTCTAAAACTCTACAACTTTAGACTTGGTGTTAGAAAAATAGAATGCCATTGTTGTACCTTATTTTGATTATTGTTCTTCAGTTCGGTCTGAGCGATTTCAAAGACTGAAAAAGTTTCAAAAACGAGCTGCACGTGTAGTACTGACAGAAGGGTTTGATGTATCTTCGAATGACACATTCAGTCGTTTAGGATGGATACCTATTCAGACTCGTTTCCAATTTGGAAGGGCAGTGATGATGTGTAAATGAATCCATGTGTGTGTGTATTGGGTTTTTACAGACGTGTATCAATCAGATATGATTATTTACGTCTGGGGACCGACATTTAATCGTCACCATCCGAAAGACGTGACTCAGTTCCGAACCTTCGTCCTGGACTGAATCAGTTTGTAACTTCCAATATATGTTAGCTGAATTACAGGCGCACGCCCCAACGCCTAGATGCATTATATGGCATCAACATATTTAAAGAAAGATTTATATCATGTCAGTTCACTACATGATCAAGACACAAGACAAGCTGAAAGGGATGCCTTGTGTGTACCAACAATTTAGGACCTCTAGTTTCAGGAATTCGAGTATGGAACCAACTTAAAAGCTCTTTCAAGAAGTCACCTACATTGAACAGTTTTAAACGTACTCTTAAAGTTATGGTATCTGCAGATAGCGTGTAAATAAATTATTTATATTAGTTTCAAACTTTATACATTTAGTAAACATAGGTTGACATAAAAAAATGTTGAAATAAATTAACTGCATCAGTCCTTGCTACTTGTTGATGCTTTCCTTTTTATTGAAGCGTGCATATGTATTCTAGTATTCAGCTTTCTTGTGAACAATCAAAGTGTATTACTTGAAGAGCAGCAATTATCTTTAAACATATCCAATGTAAATATGTACATAGCAATTTTGGTATCCCGTGTGTTACGCTTTATTGGATAATGTACATTTACAGTTTTCGTCGTTAAAATAGATAATAGTCTAGCTTCTCTTGTTGATTCATTATTTTTGTTTTTTCTTGTTAGAATGCCGGAAAACTCATGATTATCGAGCGTCTGATTTACAAACTTATTTCTGTTTGTACAAATAATGAGATATTAAAAATGTGCGACGGTATTTCTTGAATAGCGCTTTTTACGAGGATGCCAATTAATACGTATACTTGTGTCATATACAATATATATATATATATATATATATATATATATATATATATACATGTGTGTATTTATTTCTTTATTTTGTTTTGCTGATGTTATCTGTTTTAATGATCATTTTTATTGCATAGTATTGTTACCAAAGAGGGCCTTATGGAAGGCCACCATATATCAGAAATAAATAAATAAATACAAAAAACTTGGGTTTGAATTCTTCAAGATCTATTTAGTGATACTGATTGACTGTCTTTACATACAAATTGTGTGCAATTGAAGTTGTAAAATCGGACAGAAAAACAAATCTGTTCTGACGATCCGTGCCCCTCCTTGTTTATTTAGTTTGAACTAAGAATACAATGGCCCATTATATAGACTTTGGATTGATGTGCATGATTAAGTCTTAACATTCAACTCAAGATATTTTATGTATATCTATTTCCTTATCCAATTTTTTTGTGTGGATTGTAAAGGTTTTATCATTCCTAAATTATACAAATAAAAACGATGTATAATTAGAGATACTTTTAATAATATGAAGTAAACGTCGAAGAGGTTAGCACATCATAGGTGTTTATGCATTGGAATCACACTAAGAATGTCAAGGTAATTAGGCTAGTTACTCGCGAGGTATTCATCCTTCGAGGGGAAAAGTAATGCAGTAAGGGGAAGGGAAAATAACATTTATAATGTCCGAAAGAATAATTTGTCTGCGTGAAAGAACAGCATTTCTTTTCTAATCACTTTTCTTTCTTTCACCCCTCGCAAATGTTCATTCGTTGCATCATTGTAGACGTCGAGTATGTAACATATATACACGAAGTATATTTGTACACTTAATCTGTATGAGTATTTACAAACAACCGTTTGCTAAGATACTGATGGAAACAGCATGAACTTGTATAGACAGATTATGATGAGACACAATGAGTAACTCGTCACCTTCTGCGAAACAGGGGGGGGGGAAGTGAACTGACTGTGAATGATTTAAATGATTTTACTTCTCATACAAAACATCATACAATGAATAATTATATTACCAAAAATATGCAATGAAACGACAAATATAATAGAAAAGCACGAGAAAAGAGGAACTAACTAAAAGCAGAGCTAATAGTAATTGTTGAACTGCTAATCCCTCAGATGCTGTTTTACAATATAACAAGAACAAAGTATGCTTAGAAATCAATAAATAGAAGAAAAAAATATGTAGCTAAGAAATTTTAGATTGGGGGGGGGGGTGGAGGAAAATAGACCATCCACCAAAATAGGGAGAGACCTATTATAGAATTTCATCATACATCATTTTTATTTCCATAATTTAGGAATTGTAAAACCTTTACAAACCACACGAAACATTTGGATAAGGATATTAGCTGTTCTTATGTTGCTATAATATAAAGGGGATAAACAAAATTTAGATAACTGAAGACCAATATCGTTACTGAACCGCGATTACAAAATCTTAGCAAAGGTGTTATGTAAAAGATTGAAATAGGTTCTACATAAAGTGGTCTCTCCTGATCAGCCAGGTTGTTTGAAGCAACGTTCAGTAGTAATTTAAAAAAATACGTTTAGTCCAAGATATTTTTGCTTATCGTGATTCTGGTAATTTTCCTGTTATTTTTGTTTTTTCTTCATTTTAAAAAAGCTTATGATATAGTTAATCATGATTTTTTTTTCAGTTATTATATAATTTAATTTTAAAGAACAATTCATTGGGTCGGATCATAATAATTTATACAAATGCGATTGGAAGTGTTTAAAAAAAACAGTGATTGGGTATCTAAAACATTTTAAAAACGACGGAGAATTAGACAAGTCTGTCCGCTTTCTGCAATTTTGTTTATTCTTGTTGTTAAAGTAATGGCCGTTAATACTGATACTTCGAAAGTTTTTTAGATATCACAAGTAGCTAACGATGCTGCCCTTTTTCTTAATTCCATTGAATCCGCAAAACGTTTCACTTGAAGAAGTAAGAAGATTTGGACACTATGCTTGGCCAAATTTAAATGTTATGAAAACAAAAGCAATAACAATGTCAACTCAATTAGAATTCATAAAAGGCTAAAAATGGAACGATGATTCAGTCAAGTATCTGGACATTAACCTCACTTAGGATAAAAGGGAATCGGATCGACTAAACTGGGCTATGAAACTTGAAAAAGTAAAATCAATCCGTAATCTTCCTTATTGCAATATATTTCTCACGTGTAAAAAGGGTTTTACATCAAGAATGAATACGACAACATTGGAAAGGTATATGTGTATCAAGCATTGTGCAATGGCTTTTAAGACCAACGGGTTACAATGCTGTTTGTTGTTGAAAAGCGTACCGATGGTACCCGACTTTTGACAGTGAAAATCGGTGTACTTAAAACCCTGTCATCTTTACGTCTTGTATTACTTCTTTAAGATGACATAACTTTACGTCAAAAAGACGTTAAATTTGTCCCGCGTACGACGTCGTGAGGGCGTCATATATTTTGACGTGATTCGTACGTCTTATCAGTCAGAGAAAGACGTCTTTAAGACGTCAACTTTTACTTGTGTACCCTAGGAAGACGTCGTATAGACGTCATATTTACATCTTATTAGTCAAAGAAAGACGTCTTTAGGACGTCTTTAAGACGTCAACATGTACCTTAGGAAGACGACGTATGGACGTCATATTGTGACGTGATTTTTTAGGTCTTATTGGTCGAAGAAAGAAGCTTTTACCAAAGAAGGATGTCCTACAGACGTCGTGTTTATCTTGTATGGACATCAAATTTTGACGTGATATTTACATCTTATTGATAAAGAATAGACGTCTTTAAGACGTTAACTTGGATCAAAGGAAGACGTCGCACTGACGTCATATATTAATGTGATTTTAACGTCCTACTAGTCACAACAAGAAATAGAATGGATTCCATATTTTTACGTGATGTTTTACATCTTTTTTTTCTTTTAAAGACATCTTCAAGGTATAGACTAGTTCTGGTCATGCGATTGCATTGTAAAAAAACGTTGTGGAATCGATCAGAAAAGTTGATCATCTAGCATATAAGTATTGGTGTGTAGTGCAAGGTTCTGGAATCATCAACATCATAAGGAATTTGGCCCAGTCTTAGTTACAAGCACTATACACAGAAAGACCGTGTATATGGGACTACGGGATATCTATCCAGTCCGGATGGATGTGATAATTTACCAAATATATCTAGGCAGTTTCCCGGCAAAATGTGTATCATCACGTATTAGTCAAAACATATTCTTTCATATGATTGTTAATAAGAGCTTTCATTTCATTTTTGGAGAGGGGGGGCGTTTCCAAGATTGGTCTATACCTTTAAAGACATAAACTTGTATGATAGTTTACATCGTACGGAAATCTTTACATAATTTGTTACATCTTATTGGTTAAAAAAGGACATCTTGAAGACGTAAACTTGTACCAATGGAAGACGTCATACGGACACCATTTCAATTCTTGCCGTGTTGGCTGTCAGAATGTGAAATTACTTTGAAATTCTGGGAAATGCTAACCTCTGGAGACTTCTACAACTTTTATGTAATAGAATTTAAATACTGAAAAGGTTAGACTGTTTTCAGGTTTAAACCAGGGAGGTGGAAGAAAGGAGTGGAAACTCTTGTAATTTATTCAAACGTATTTCCACTTGGCTTAGAAGTTCCATGCTCCGAGCCGCGCTTCCACTGCGGGGAATTTCGGAGGCTAGGCACCAGTTTCACATTTATTACAAAATATGAAATTACTGGCAAAATGCCAGTGTAAATTATAAACTTGATAAGGGGGTTGTATTGGGAATAGTGCATCAAACAATTATTCAAATTTAGTACTCTGCCCTTCCTCTAATTAGTGTGCCAGAGTTGGTAAAAGAAAAATTAAATCCTGACAAAAACTCAATATTTTAGAATATTAATGCGCTAATTTGTGCCTGTTTTAATGTCCCGCTATTCAATCCATGATTTACAATCTTGGATAACTATACGTTTGCTAATGCGTGTTATTGCGTGTTTTTTGTATGTGCGCAGTTGGAAAAAAGGATGAAATTACACAATTTTGTGATCGCTACTCATTACACATTCAACAATTGATGAGAAATTATTGAAAGGGACAGCGAACAGTTGCTGGGATA